TAACATTTTATAATGTGTATTTTAAGGCTTTATTGATCACTGCATATTGCAATCTGTGTTCTTTTTCTGTGCCAGTTTTTCAACTACAAAAAAAACCACACACGCACTACTCGAGCATATCTTTATTTGGCAGCTTCCATGAGTGACACTGATTAACCAGAAATATGCCACTGAAAACTAGCTACCTACCTCTATTAATACAATGAGAAAACATATCAAGAAGTTGCTTACTTTTCTATATTAACCATGGTATGTACAGGGAATTGAAGACATTTTAGGTAGACATTCAGGTATATGGAGTATACCCACTCATTTTTCAGTCTCCATGGGGTATACTCACTTCTAGAATAACAATATTCTGTAGAATGCTGTCATTTTCTTTTTCTAGGATGGTGAAGGGATGACCCTCCCTACTCTGCCTCTAATCGGCTAGTACACACTAAATATACAAGAGTAGTCTTACATGTCAATGAACGGGCTGCTTAAAAAAAGAAAACAAATTGGGGGGAAAAAAAACCCAATGGTATACCCACTTCAGGCACCACTACACCACTGCCAGAGGCCAATGTTATATGGGGTACCTTAGGATGGCAAAGTTCGGGAAAACCCTGACCTATACACTGAAAGTATTTGGATTTTTTTTTTTTTGTCTACCATGTGTTTGTCATTTGCTTAACGTCACAAGTAGAACACATTGTGACCATCGCGCTGATTCCAGGGATTTGGGAGGATTTGACAGCACTGTTGAACCTGTTTCTGTTGGTTTTGTTTATCTCAGACTCCAGCAGAGAACAGGATCTCAACACAAGCCCAGTGCAGGCTTAAAATAAGCTAAGCTGTGTTGTTATTATTGAGGAAAAAACAATACTGATGTAATGATGTAATTATTTCTTATTTATTTGATTGAGCTCATTACATATCTTACATCTCTTTTTTCATGTAGAATTTCAATAGTTCCAGCAATGATTGCTCCTCATGTTTTGATCTGTGTATTTGAATATTGATTGTTTGAACAGCTCTCTGCAGTGTTGGCAGGCTCTGCTTAAACATTGGTAAAGTGAGTCAGATGGCGGATGTCAGATTTGCATCAATGCTCAGGAAGTTTGAACAGGACTGTTGACTCTGTGACGTGTTCACTGAAAGACTGCTCTGTTTATCAACTGTTTGGCAAACGTGTGTGTTGATTTATACAAGAGTTCTCTTACCTGGGCCAGTCAAGACCTTCAAAATAAGACGATAATAACAACTGCTAGTAAAGGAGGAGATTTTAACTATTTTAGGATCAAGTGAATTGAAAGTAAAATGTCACATGTCATGCCTGGAATGATGGTGCGTCTTTCTCACATGCACAGAATTTCTGAAAACTTCCCCTGAAATGTCGAGTATGAGCTGCATCAGTCAAAGCAAGCAGCTGAATTTGTAACTCTGACTTTCTGCTGCCAGCCCCGCATGAAGTCGCAGCAGGAAATATTCAGGAAAAATTCACAGTGAGCGGGAGTGATGATGAGTTATGAATAATGTTGAGTTTGTCTTTTATAAAAGAGAGAATACATGGATGTTATTAGATATCGTGTTATGTCATAGGGACTGCATGGAAGCTGGAGGATGGGGGTAACTCAGGGGACATTTGAAACGTAACACAACATAGTTAGAAGCTATGGAAAGCTAAGTTTAGCCTGGAGCCTATGTTGGCCTGTGGTTCATATTTACTCTTGAGAATCTTTACCTCACCGCCGGGCTCTTAGATTTCTCTAACTACGTCTGTGTTCTCTCTCCAACCTTTAGGGGAAAGTGTTTACGTTGAGGTGTTAATACGTACGTATAGGATCATGTGAACATTTCAGCAGCAGGGATCCAAAACAACATGGATGAATGTCATGTACGTAGTCAGCTGGGCCTCAGCATGTAGGGCTAGAGATTCTTCCAGCATAGACTTGATGTTTTGCAGCCATGTTCAGATTCCAGACTAAGATACATCAATAACACTGATGTTTGTGACTATATTCACACTGCTGCCATTTTCCCTGATGTCAGACTGAGGATGAGAATTATTAACTACAACATAAGATGGTTGTACTGCTGTCCACGTTACCAAGTCTTGTGAGGACTTGAGGAGGGGAGGTCGGGGGGCTGGAGATTGTTTGAAACCATTTGTTTTGATCTGAAATTCTGCTCTTAAAGTCGCAGACTGTAAAATGTCGCATAATTATGATACCTTTAAGTGACTAAAACTCTTGTTTGAACATGCTGATTAGTTCTGAAAATGGAAACTTCAGCAGAAGTGGCTGTAATGTCTGGATTTACACCTTATCTTTAGTTTCTTTACGCTCTTGAATAAGAAGTTATTCAGCTTTAAACTCAGTATGTAAATTACGTCGCCAGCAGGCTCTCAAACACAACGACAATAGATGATGTTGAGGCTGGCAGGAAGTGATTCTATCTACTCCAAAAATTCGATCATCATGTCAAGCATTAAAGAGCAGAGTACAGATGGACCCGCTCAGATGGGTGTGTTTTTGTGTGTGTCTGTGTGTGTGTTCACAGTCGGCTGACAGGGTGCTAACATGACTGTCCATGTGTCCATTGATATTTGACCGCTGCAGCCACAGTATCACATGATGGCCTGAACCTGAGCTCTGTGTCTTTGGGTCTCTTGGCCAGATATCGTCACTTCCTCAGACGAAATATTCAATGCATGTTTATTTACATTTTTACTGTAGCAATTCCCTGGGGGTCGTGGGGGCAATAAAGAAAACAAACAAATTTGAATTACAGCAATCATCCCTACAGGTAGATTACATGTAATTATTTAATGAAGTCTTGTGGAATTCAAAATATTTCAAATGAATCCTAATTTCACTTAAAGGTTTCCAAAATTATGATTTAAAGGGAAAAATTAGTCCAAAATGGTCAGTTTGTTTACAGCTGTAGCTCTTTTAGTGCCATCTGTTTTCATCATGGAGTTTGTAATCCTGCTAGCTACCCTGTACTCTACTCTACATAACGTTGATAGTTATGAAGTACAGACCCACATACAGCCTGCAAGTCTCTCTCATCCCAGATTTTCCGGTATATATTACCATTCAGAATTTCTTCATTATTAAACTTTCATTTATGTCTGTTTAAACTAAGAGAAACGCTGAAATCGAGTCCTTCTGAGTGCATCCCTCTTTCTGAACATCTGAAATTTTGAGTGAATGAAACCTTTATGTTTTAAGAAATGAACTTGAGAGTCAGTTCAAACGACCGTATACCAAACTAGTAAAGTACGGCATATTTACTCAAGTTAATATGCAGTCAAGTTTTGTGTGTAGACACTTAAAGAATTCAAATAACGAAACATTATCATAGAGACTGATTTGGTGATTTAATGTGAATGACGTCTGAGTTTCTCCTGTCTTAGGACCAGTATGTGTCTTTGTCTGTGTGTGTACATCTATGTTTGATGCTTTAGCCTTTTAGTTTAACTCGATCTGTGTGATAAGTTAGCCTGTTAGCTCTTTAGCTGACCTACTTGTAAAGATTGGGAGCCATTTAGTGTTGAATTAGTTTGTTAGGGAGTCATGGAAAAACTGCTGTTAGCATCAGAGAACATGTTTGGACAGATCTCAACAGTTCAGCTTCACTCGTCTCATTTTTTTTTTTTACCTTGTTTCATCTGATCACTGATTGAAGACCACGTGTTGTTCTGCTGCATCCAGATTGTCCTCTGTTCTCTTTCATTTTTATTAACTCTGTCTTCTGAGTGTAACTTATCCTCCATTTTTATTGTTCTCTCAGCGTCATCAGGACCATACTTCAGTATCAGTTTTCTCTCTTTTTCTTTTTTTTAAGTGACACATGTTACAGTACCGCCATTGTCAGTAAAGAATAATGGAGGTTAGTTTGTTCTCCTGCACGCCTCAGCTAGAGATCACTTAAACATAACCGATCGACATGACAGGACAACAGGTGCTAGGTATGCAAAGATATGGAAACACATGCAGGTACAGGTGAGCTGTGTTAAGTAGACTTGGAGAGCATGAATGAGTTTCAGCAGTACGTCAGCTTGGTTCAAAGAATGCACTTTGCCTTGAGCAGCTCGCAAGAACTCACAAAAACAGAAGTGAAGTTTATGGTTCCTTCTTTGTCTTTCTTTGTGTAATCTGGTTCACTTTCAGCCTCCTCCACTCAGTGTTGTAGCTGACTGTCTTTGTCCAAAGAGCTTTTATCAGCTGCTCTTCTACCTAAAGGCAAGATGTTGTGTGGAACAGTTTCTCTAATTCAAGGGCACATACTGCCTGCAGCAAATTCCTCCGTTTGGCCCCTAATCTTTGCTCTAAATAATGTGATGCAGGGTTTAAATGATGACATTTTTTATTTGTTCCTCGAGGGATGCACAATAGGTCACAGTAACATCATTTTCCCAATATGACTAATTGCAATAAACTAAGGCTGTCAACATTAACTAGTTGATGACAAATAATTAAAGTCTGAAATGAATGTGTTAATTGTTTTAATCAGGATTAGTCGCATGCTATATGGTTTCTCTTAGGCGTACCTTGAATAAGCCTCCACAGGGTCTCCATGTAGTCACAGTGATGGACTACAGGGAAACACTGCAGGAGACTTGGGTTTGAATATCGTATTTTACTTTTAAAAACTCTCAAAAGTATTATAAACCTTATGACATCAAACTTTTTTTACCATTCCTTTGAGCTGTTTTCATCTAGTTTTTGAATCGTAACAAGTTCCTTTCTCCGTGGTTAAGTAAATGTCATAACCTTCGATCTACCAGATGGTCCTTACTTAATTTCAAAATAAAAGTAGGGTTGAATTCAAACAGCATGTAAAGTACTCTCAGCTTAAGGAAGTACAAAATTCCAAATAAAAGCTTGGATTTATTTTAGATTTGAGAAACATTTTGAAAACACAAAGTTATAATAAATATTTCTTCATTCATTGCACTTAAAGTCACTTTGCATTGTGTTGACTGTGTGTCTCCTCTTTGTGTGTTTCAGGTACCCCAGTCAATATGTGTATTGTTCAGAGCCGGGCTCGCCTGACTCAGCTCAGCCTGCCGGGGACAAAACCCCTAACGTCCCGCAGCATGAGCAGGAGGAGGACTCCACGCAGCACAAGGTGGGTCTGCTTTAATAAAAGCCACAACACCACTACACTATAACCAAAACAATTATTTGTTCGGCAGTTTGGATTGTTATATTATTTATTGATTCCAAACCTGGAAATGCCATTGAATTGTTCTGTTGGGATAACCCAGCTGAGATTCAGGGGCTTTGAATGACCGGACCGCCAGACGTCTGCTGACTTTAGTTCCAGAATATTTGAATGATTGATTGTATCAAAAAGCAATACAGTTTTAAAAAGCATCTTCAGTCATATTTATTTAAAAAAGCTGCTGTGAGAGAAAGAGGGAGAGGGCTGTGGAAATTGCACATCAACATTGTCAACATTTAGGGTTCCAATTAACCCTGTATAAACTGCCTGAGTAGGGTGTATCCAAACAAGTATTGATGTTGTTTGACTTTTTAACAGTATCATATCTATGTTTCAAATTCTGGTATCGTGACAAAGACAGCCTACTAGAGCTCCAATGGTTCATTACTTTGTCATCATCTATTGATGCATCAATAGATGTGTACGTCATGCCATCATGCATACCTGTACACATGATTAAAAACAAGTCTTTCTCCACGTTAAGCTGGCTCATATTTTTTAACTAAAAGCTGCAGCAAGAGGAAGAGAGAGAGAACTGTAGTAAAGATGTGTTGCCAACGTATCTGTATGATTTAAACATTGTGCAGGAGTTTGTCTGCAGATTTTGTAATTAAAAACAAGAAATGACCAAATAATTGTTGCCTTGGTATCAAACAGCGATTGATATTGTTTGGTCTTTTTTTTTCTAGTATTATATCTGACTTTAAAATTCTGGTCTCGTGACAACCCTGTTACTTAAAAACAGCTTACTAGAGCTGCAATCATTTAGTCGTCATCTATTGAATCGTTAGCTGTTGTTTGTGATAATAAATGTTTCTGTTGCTTCTTAAATTTAAATGTTATCAGGCTTTTTTTCTCCTCTTATCAAGTTAAACTAAAAACCATTCTGCTGGGGACAAAATGTGACATTATAGGACTTTTTCTTTGGCTTTGGCAAACAATGTTTCTCATTTTCTTCTTAAAATTATTATTTGTTGCAGCCGTTGCAGATAAAGTGGCAGACATGAGTTTCTCCTGTAGGGTTCTTTGTTTGGTAGAGCTGATGGATGCATTGATATCTTTATGGAACAATGCATTCCTGGATGGATGGATGGATGGATGGAGAGGAGGATGTTTATTCAGCCTGGTTAACATTGCTGGCTCATGCTGTGGCTTGACTGTGGGATGATGAGCTGTATTATTAGACTCATGGTTCTCATGGTGAAATGTGTGCGTTAGCAGAACCCTGACGGTGTAGTGGGAGTCGGGTTGTGCTCTTTGGTGACCCACTGACCCCCATGTCCAGTGGGAGGTGTGGAGAGAGGAGGTGTAGCTGTAAATACTTTGTGGTGAAGATCTGGAGGTCCTGAGTTATGGGCTGAGGACGGCATTGCATAATACTTTGTCGTTGACGTCACTCAGGCTTCTTCCATTAAAATTTACAGTCTACCCTAGCTTAGCTTCCTCGTCATGGAGTCATGTAACATTTAATGAAAACTTTATTGAAAGGACGAATGTAGCAGACAAATAATAACAACTTTGACTACACTAATGATTGAATCCAGAGTATAAAGGTCATTTTAAGATTGCATATTGAAGAAAAACAACTTGGCAATTATCTTAAATAAAAATCAGGCTCTTTAACTACAAAAGTTGTCATAGCAACTTATTTGAACTCAATCAGCGTCACTCTAATACGATACTAGCAAAATATTGATGCCTGAAACAAAACTAGAAGTCCTAGGCACCTCAATTTGTTCAGCTTCTTGTCCCGTCACTCCTGCACACTGTGTAAATTGCACAAAAACAAACAGTTTGCCCATGTCTAAGCAATGTAGAAGACGGTGTCCCTCTTTGTCTTCCCCCAAAATAGTGTTTTTAAAAATATCCTATCTCAGTTACAATTCTACAATTTATTGAGCAGATGCTTGATCCAAAGTGAGGTACATCAGAGAGTAAGAACAACACAATCAAGGATCTAGAAAGGAGGAAACAACACCAGTAAAAACAAATTAACAGCTTAAAGTCCGATCAGACACACAGGGGCTGAAAGGCAATGCACAGAGGCAAAGCTGTTCTAGAGAGTTCTAATCAGTATCAAAACCATCCTAAATATCGTCATCGTTATTATCAAACAAATAATTTTAGGGACTTTAGGAAGTTATCACCCGTAATCCAGATGAACTGACTGATGGACCACCGCTGCTTGTGGCAGCTTAGGGCTAAAATATGACTGAAGATCAGAAGTTTTGTTAAAGCTTTGGTACTTTCTGATGCTATTGATCATTATAATAACTGAGACTGTATCAAAAGGTAGTGATATATATTGTGAATTTTGCCAACCCTGGTCCGGTTTCTTTTGAAGCTGTGTCACAGAAAGAGGACCATGATAAGGACATGAAGATTAGCGTCTGTTCCAGGTGAAAAGTTACTGAGAAAGCAGCCCAGTGGCATTTTGTCAGGAACATAGTCTTCTCTTTACGACAAGTCACAGAGCTGCTGAAATTTAGGTCAGGACCATCCTGTGGGGTTATAGTCCACAGTAAACAAAAGCTCTCCTGACTCTCGGCTCTGAATAATGCTGGAGACTAATCCATCTTAAGGCCCCACACAGACAGAGCAGGGTTTACAAACTGCTACACACCACACTGCATTTTTATTGAAACTAAGACATGAAAAAATACCTTCTTAATTGGTGCAACCCGTCATATCTCCTTAAAAAATGTATGTGATGAATTCTCCGGTACTTTAATGATTTGCATCCAAACTGACATTGTCTGCAAAAATCAAACTGTTTTTCTTTTGTAATTTTAAAGCACCAGTTTTCTACAGGGCTGCAACTTATCAACTTAACAATGTGTTAAAGAAGCAAACTGCAGTTTAAATTCAAAACACTGGAGAGAGCTGTCTCCCCCCGCCCCCTCCTCCCTAGAGTCGATGTGCTTGCCATGTTACGGACACAGAAGCTTCAGTGTTTAGCCAGCCTTGCATTGGTCTTGAAACCTTTCTGCATTCTAACCTCTCTCCATTTTTAAAAAGCATAACTCAAAAAAGTATGACCACATGACTAGTTTGACCACTTTATGCAATTCAGACAGTATGCATGAGTTTGTCTGCAATGTTTGATTTTTTTAAACAAGAAATCACCAAAATTTTTTAAAATTGTTGTATCTTGACAACCCTGACTCAAATATTAGAGAAAAGAAATGCAAAGAAATTTCAAACTAAAAGTCAATGCAGAATCATTATTTGGAAAAGGTGCTGACTCATACACCGATCTCATACTCTGATCGATCGGCTTCACTTCTACGAGTTGAAGTTTAATCGGCTTGAGCGCTTGTGTTACTGTCTTCAGAAATTAGAAAGTGGAAATAGATGTCTCTCACTGCAGAGGAAATGTAGTCTGTCTGATGAGGTTATAAGGTGGTTAACTAAAATCTGCACGATGCTGTGCTCGGAGCTGTTCTGCTGAAATGAGCCCTCAAAGTGTGTGAGTGCGTGTAAGAATGAGTGATAGCTTAGAAAATCTTGTATTTTTGTGTACATGTTTGAGCACAGAAGAAGGAGACTCATTGTGTGCGGTCCAGCAGTGAACAGGCACACTGAGGCAGCTCAACAGGCCTGGCAGTCTGTCACTCCACTTATAACACACTCTGTGTTCAGAAACAAAAGACCGCCTTCACAAACAGACATCGTTTCACCTCCAACATCTGATATTCTCACACAGAAATGCACTTTTTTAAATTCTTAACACCATCCTTCCACCATGCCCTGCAAAACGTTAAAACAATTTTTAGTTTAATATTCAACCGAATGTGATCTGTTTGATATGTTTAAGTGGCTTATATCTACTTGAATGTGATGTTTGGACGCCTATAGCCTAGTGGGTAGTGCACACATCCCATGTACCGAGCCTAAAGTCCACCAAGCCGGCAACCCAGGTTCAGATTGACTTGTGCTCGTTTACCGCATTTCATTCCCCACTCTCTTTCTCCCCTCTTTATGACGATATTCACTGCCTATCTCTAAACAAAAGGCATAAAAGGCCACAATTTATACCTTAAAAAAAAATGTATGTGATGTTTGAGAATGTGGAGTATGTGACGATGTGTGTTTTTTGTCCTGTAGGTGTTGGAAGAATGGACGACACACACATCATACGATATGGGACTGGAGGCAGAGAGAGCAGCACTAAAGCTGGCAGCACACAACATTCACCAAGAACAGGTGACATCATACCACATACACAATTATTCCTGTGGCAAGATGTAACGTAGAAGATAAGCGACTCGGAAGTGGCAGACGAAGCAACAGAGTATTCTATACGATGCTATAATGAGAATAATTGCCTTTATATCAATGTTACATATAGTTCAATGGAATGGCCATATCAAGAAAAAAGTGGAAAAGAACATACTGGCAAACAGAAAACGTAATGCAGCCGTTTGATATAGTGCACGGAGGTCGAAGTCCGAAAGGGATAGTCATGTGCTGTGAGGAGGATTTCAGGGCTAAGAGTGCATGTGTGAAAACAGCTTCAGTTTACTTCATTGAATGCTGTGCATATATAACGATACAAAAAGTACTTTAGATAAGAACAAATAAAACGTGAAAAGGAGATAAAGTGAATAATGACAAAGGATAGTCTCCAGTTTGTTCCAGGTGGCGTTTAAAGATATTTTAAAAGCTTTCAAATCCAATGTTTTCTAAGATGTTACAAAAATGTGTTTCATGTCTTCTCTCTGCAGACTGTGAATCCTGGAGAAGCTGAGCTGAAGGACACCAAGTCTGACCCTGAGTCTGATCCAGAACCTGCTGCTTCTGAGCTAGACCCCCACCCAATCCCCCACCCAGACCCCCAGGCTGATGTGGTTCTGCAGCCTCACACCCAGAACCAGAATCAGAACCAGGACCAGGCTGTACCTGTGTCCTCCACTCCAGAACCAGTTCCAGCACAGATCCAGGAGTCTACAGACACCCCAGCTGCAGAGACCGTCACTGAGACTCCTGCTGCAGCCCCAAGCCTAGACACACCCCCTTCCTCTGATGAAGCTGAACACATACCTACCTCAAAGAGCGCCGACCCCGCCCACACAGGGTAAGATCACGTTCAGTCCCTCAGTCTGGAGGTTGTCTGGTTCAGAAGCTGGATTTAACTCAGGGGATTTGTGGGGAGTTAAAGTCTTACATTTAACTTAGAGAGTCTTTGGGGTACCCTGCTTTAACTCAGAGAGAGAGAGAGAGAGAAACAAAAACATTCTCCTCTGATGATGTTAAAACCAGCTTCAACCAAACCCAACTATAAATATTATACATCATTCAGCAGGTGCACATTTTCTTATATTTTTGTTAACATCTTTTCCCTTGAGTTGTTTATGATTTATTATTTTTAGTTTTTCATTTACTCACTTGGTCAATGATCACACGCTGAGAGAGAAGATCAGAATTTTTGCTTTCACATCTCGGATCTTTTAAAGTCACTTTGGCGCTCATCATCGTGGAGTTTCCTGGACCTGCTTGACACTTTGTCAGACGGACTTTTAATGAAAGCTTGTGGACATTGCGAAAAATCACTAGAAGATCTGAGCGTGATCACTCTGCATAACTGCTGGATCAGACCTCAAAGAAGAACACCTCCATCTGTGAATCTTTCCTCAGAGACGTCAGGACTTTTTAAAACGTGCTCATCCGTCTCCCCCTGGCGAGCGACCTCTCCTCCTTTTTTTTTCATCTGTTTTCTCTCTCTCTATCTCTCTCTCTCTCTCTCTCTCTCTCTCTCTCTCTCCTTCCTCCTCTCTTTCTCTACACTCTATTTCATTTATCTCCTCCTCTCCCCTCAGTGTAAGGAGGTGTGGTAAACGCCGTGTCCTTTCTTTCCCCTCAGTGCAGTGTGGGTTGCCAGTGCAGGAGATGAACTCCCAGTAGACAGCTTTGTCTCTGCTGAGCACTCTGACTCACAGTGCGGGGTCGTTCCCCCCGAACTGGCAACCTGTGAAAACTCCCCCTTTGGCCGCCCTCTCTTCAGGTGAGTCTCTGACCCCCCCCAGGCAGCCAATCAAAGCACAGCGACAGGTAATCAAGTAACAAGCTCCACCTCTCTGCTGTGTGCAGCCATCGACTGCTGGCCTTGCTCTCCGCTTCTCTCTGCTTTATTTTTTTTCCTTTTCCATCGTTTTGCCTGCTCACAACCAGGACTCACAGTACTCTGAATAAATTTAAGAAAGAATATTTTCATGTTTTCGTCACATTTCTGAGAACTTATTTCTGTTCTCCACTCTCTGTTATCCATCTCCTCTCTCTGATCCCTCCTCCCTCTCCTCCTGTAGCGCGGAGGAACCCGGTTCCAAGGACCAGCAATTAGACCAGATCCGCAGTTCTGGTTCTGAACCAGAGGTCCAGTCCACTCCAGGTCAGGTAGACCAGGAAAAACAACAACAACAACAGCATCAACAGGAGCAACAGCAGGAGCAACAGGATACGGAGGATGGTCTGTCTGATCCTGACCAGGAGAGAAATGCCTCCCAGCTCCTCCAAGAACAGAAGGTCAGCAGCCTCGGGGCTTTCTCACATTTTACACCATGCAGCTTTTCAAGTAATAAATCCAAAGCTCCCGAGTAAATCAAATATAAGATATCAGTAGAAAAACAAATGTAAGTGGATTTGTAACGGCTGGATGGCAGGTAGGTGGAGAATAGGGTGGCACAAATTATTGGTGTCATTGTTTCTGCGACATTAGCAGTCACAATAAACAAACTGCAAAGAATTCTTTTCTGGAAACAAACGATGCTCTCCTAATCATTTCGTCAGATAAAGCTAAGCTAGATATCAGCTCCCCTCAAAATAATAGGTGCCAATTAAGTGTTGAAACAAAAACAGCTTTTTGGATTTATGTGGATTCAGGAGGGACATTTAGAAACACAGGTGTTGTATAAAACATGAAGAAAAGTAGATACACATAAAAACTGACATATTAGATTGTATATCAGCTATAAATCTTTTTATTTAACCCGCTTCAGATTGTTTTTCTCACTATTGGACAATGTCATTGCTCATTGTATATTTTGCTCATATCATGTGGAATTAGTAGGTTATCCCCTCCAGTGAAAATCCCCATCAGCTATAAGATGCAACATGCTGCACAGCGGTTGTAGCATTTGGCAGCTTTAGGTATGAATGCTGAGTCTGCATACTTTCAGTTTCTGTTTTCTGTTTTCATGGTTGGAGGAAAAATGAAAGACGAGTGTTTCCGGAGGAATTTACTTATTATCTGGGGATTTGCGTCTGTGTTGTGTTTTCGTGCATGATTTTATTGTTTTTAGTCCAAGTTTGCTTCCTAATCTGTCTGCTAATGACTCCTGTCAGAGCTGTTGGTCTGTTTGCATAAGAAGCTGTGGAGGTTTGTGGATTTTTCAGGATCAGACTGTCGTGTGAGGTCCAAGAGGCCGCGCTTATATAATCCGTCAAAATATTATGCACAGCTCAGCGCATCTCAAAGCTTTAGAGGCTGAAGGCTCTAATTCAGTATGACGAGCCTCCTCTGTGGACGAGAGTCTTTGTAGAGAGCGCTCATAACGCAAGTCAAAAAGAGAATCACTGATGACACCGTTTATTAGAACTTCACTGTGCTCTGCTGCAAATCAAAGTCAGAGGTCACAGATGTTGAGCTGTCCTTCATGTATCTTCTCTGGTGCGGTCAGGGACAGACAGAAGGTGCAGCAGGGAAGGACTGGCGCACAGAGGAGCAAAAAACATTAATCAGTGCAAGTACGGTACAAAATGAACTGAAACGTCTGCAACAAATACTTTTGTCCTTTCAGCCAACAAAGTTATAATAAGACTAACCTCAAACAACACTCCCGTCTTTAACTTTTTTGAATAAAACTATTATTGCCCCTGGGGGAATTAGCCTTGCACCAAGAGCATAAAAAACATAAGTGAAAGAAGACATTGACAACCATACAGGACGGCATATGAAAAAAACATTAAAATATATCATTAAAGCATCGCATGATTGCATGTAGGGATTTCATTTGTGTCTTTGTGCCCGTCCTTCCTGCTTGCACCTAAATCCAGATGTATAAACATATAGTGAGTTTGTATCAGTAGATGCTGCTTAGCTGTCATTAAATGTATAGACTGAAGCCGGATCGATCGGTCGCTACTTTACGGAAGAAGCTGAAAACATCTGTCTCCCCTTTAGCCTTTAGTTTGCTATGAATTGAAGTATTCATTCATTGTTGCGTGTGTGCTTCACCTGTGCTCAGGTGGGGGATGCCAGTGTTGGCCCCGAGACTGATCCCTCAGTGCCAAGTAAAGAGGACATCCCGACCTTTGACGAGTGGAAGAAACAAGTCATGGAGGTGGAGAAGGAGAAAAGTAAGAGCTGAATAATTCAAACACACATTTAGATGCATGTGCACGTATGGAAAGAGAGGTGTCGCATACAGAGCAAAGAGCAATGTTCCATGATGTTGTTTCTATAGCTGGAAACTCAAAGGAGATCCTGATGACATGAATCTGACTGTGTGACATGAGCCCAGGCACTGCTCTGCTCCTGCAGACAAAAGAGGCCTTCATGCTAGATTTAATCTACATCTCATCATGTTTCTGCTTTGTCCTTCTCACTGCGAGTGTTTCTTTGCGTGATGTACCTCTGTCTTTTCTCTTCAGCTTCCTTCCTCATATTCTTTTCCTGTGTATCTTTGTCAGCATCTCCCTCTCTCTCTCCCTCTCCCCCTCTCTCTCTCTCTCTCCCCCTCTCTGTGCATGCCATCGTGTGCCGTGATCAGCAGAGCATGTGGTCACGTTATGTAACATCTCTAACTTGTTCCTCTCAGGCATCACTCTTTTATTTCCCAGCATTTGTAACTCTCTCTCTCTCTCTCTCTCTCTCTCTCTCTCTCTCTCTCTCCCCCCCCCCCCCTGTGCAGGTCAGTCTCTCCACACCTCCCCCACTGGCGTCCCCCACCCAGTAAAGAAGGTCCAGAAAAACTTCAAGAATAACTACGCCTCAGTGGAGTGTGGAGCCAAAATACTGTCTGCCAACAACGAGGCCAAGGTCAGACACACACACACACAGACACACACAGACACACACACACAGACACACACAGACACACACAGACACACACAGACACACAGAGGCAGACAGCAAAGAACACAGAGGTCACAGCACATGGATGACGCCTGCATTTAGTCCGAGCATTTAGAGGTGACTTAATATTAAAATTGTAATCACATTACGTGACCATGTGTGAAATGAATTCATGTTAATTATTAAACGGGAACTTAAATTCCAGTTGTGTTAATCACGCTGTGATATGATTTCTAAGTGAAGAAGATTCAGAATCTTAGATATTCATACAAATCTGATGTGAATTGATTTTTTTCCCACACCCCTACCCTGACATGTTTATTCTCACATGAGCGTCTACCAGCTGTTAAAGAAATAAATACATCACAGAATAAACTGATGGTTTAAGTTAACTCACTCACAGTCACTCTTTTGTCTCCTCTTCAGAGCACTTCAGCTATTCTCATGGAGAACATGGACCTTTACATGCTGAATCCCTGCAGCAACAAGATCTGGTGAGTTCACTGACAAAAACATCGAGCATAAAATGTTCTTAATGAGTTTTTATTAACACCTCCTCTGTTTGTCTCTCCAGGTTTGTTATTGAGCTCTGTGAGCCGATTCAGGTCAAACAGCTGGACATCGCTAACTTTGAGCTCTTCTCATCAACACCCAGAGATTTTTTAGTTTCTATCAGTGACAGGTACGCTCACTCCTTGAAAAGCTGCCTGTGTTCAAACTAGGGCTGTGAAATGCTAGATTTTTAAAATCATGATTAATTGCTGAATTTCAGTAGTTAAATGCGATTAATCACAGTTTTAAATGCATGTTTAAAATTCTATTGTTTTGCATTTCAGGGACTCTACTTACAATTTGGATTAAAACACTGGTTTTATTTTAAAAGGTGATAAGGAATTTCTGGTAGATTGAAAGTCACGGCATTAACTTCGACTCAACTTATAACTGTTGTAGTCTTTGTTTTGGATTTCACCTCCCTGATCTATTTCCAGCCTCGTCTCGCACCACAACACATAAACGCCCCCTCCGGCATGCAAGGACAGAGTCACAGCCACTCAGAGGCATTTACACCCAGCCACACACACACACACAAATACACACTCTTGTCTCTTAATGCTCTCTGGTTGTGTCTGCAGATATCCGACCAACAAGTGGGTGAAGCTGGGGACCTTCCACGCGCGAGATGAGCGAATAGTTCAGAGCTTCCCCCTGGACGAGCAGCTGTATGCTAAATATGTGAAGGTACTTTTTCCTTCTGTGAAGGTTCCCTTATGTTTCAAACAGAGCCGTGATAACAGTTCTTTTATTCATGCTCAGCTCTATTTTCTGACAGTGGTTGAAAAATGAACTGTACACACACAAACACACATTCATATACTCTGCTGTGTTTATGCTCGGGACCCTCTCATGACTCCTCCGTTAGTTAACTTGCCTCCAGCGCTGCCTCGAACTACTCCCTGTGACTCTGTGTATGTCTGTTTGTGACAGAGAGAGAGAGTGTGTGACAGAGTTTCACTTGTTAACTAAGGGTAGATTGCTGTTTTTATTTCAGGAAATTATATCACCAGCGTTGGAGGATCACAATAGTTTGCCTTCTGAAACTGAAATGTTAGACTATAAAATATAAAACAAATCACACTCAGCGTGGGAAGCCCAACTATGGCAACTTACTGTTGTGACTGTCAAACTCTCAAAGCGTCCTTAAGAGATAAGAAAGTACACTGACAGCAGATACTGAAAATCCATAGACACAACGGCCACTTTTATGAGCTATAAAACACATTTAATAACCTGTTAGCGGTAGCATTCACGTCACAGTATGTGCTGTATCTACACAGCTTCTCCTTCTGCTTTCTTTAATTTTTGTCATGAATCCAAACATTTCTTAAACCCGTTTACCTCTGACTTCCTGCTGATTCCTGACACCAGCACGTCGCTTTCCCACACTTACTGGCTGTAACTGCAGTGACATCACGTACACACTCTCTCCTCTCTCTTCACCCTCACTTCCTCTTAGGGTGCCGATTAAATAAAACTACAGAAAAAAGTGAGCGTAGCCATTAGCTCAGCCTGTTTGACTGTCACATTCTGCTGTCTAAAGAACTCATTATGCTTCAGTGAACTTTAATTTCATGGATGCGGATTTTAGTTTAAAAACATGTTGACAAGCCCACAGCTCAGGCCGTCTCTTCCACAACTAAACGCTCAACAGGACATCTTTTAGACCGCTGTGGCGACGACTTGATAACTACAGTTTTATTAAGTATTACAGAATGTTCCCCGTTCTGAGTGCTACTTTTGTTTAATGAAAGTGAATGATGTGGAGTGTTTCTATTGTGCTGATCCAGGTGACTTTACAATGAACACGTTTTGATGTAATAATTAATTTGAAAATGTGCTTCTTTGAACTCTTCTGTCTTCATTCTTCTGCTTACTACATATTCACAGTTTAGACTCCTTACAAAGTTATTTAATACTCCAATGATTGTATTTGTGATGATGTCAGTGTGGGCGTTAACATGTGGGCGCTCGCTGTGATTCATGTGCTCTCTTATGAAATAATCGTGTTTTTATTACATAAACTGATTTTTATTCCTGCAGAGTCAGATCACTGATCTGAGCAGCAGCTACTGTTTGATTTTCTGATGTTTTCTGTGTGTCCTGCTGTGTGTTTTTACCCGTCTGTCCGTGTGTCTGTCTGTCTTTTAGAAAGCTCTCTGTAGTCTCCTGCCTGACTGTAACATAGCAGTGTGTTCATTAGCAGTGTGTTTGTCACAGTGTTTCTGATGCCTGAGCTGCTCGTAGCTTGAATCAGTCTTCACTGATTTTTCTCTGTTTTATTTCTCTCTCTCTCTCTTCCTGTCGTTCTGCTGTCTTCCTCTCGCATCAGATGTTCATCAAGTACATAAAGGTTAGCACTCTTCTCTCTCTGTCAGAGATTAACTTGCACTCTTATAATGGTCTGTAATGGGTGAGCTTTGCCACAGTGTAATCCATAATGCATGTCTAATATGTTTCATAAATATAACATGCACACTAAGCACATTATAAGAGCCTTGCATTTTAAAGATTTCTCTTCAGGTGTTTGGTGGGGTGTGGGTTCATGGAGTGGGCACACATACATTAATTAACTCTAACTGCAGTTATTGTGAAGTTTAGTTTGACAGTTTTTCTTCTTTTCCCTGCAGGTTGAACTTCTGTCCCACTTTGGATCAGAACATTTCTGTCCGCTCAGTCTCATCAGGTAAGAGAGAAACTTCTCCTGGTTCTAGAGTCCTTTGTGTGATAACCTGAAGCTTAACTATCATGAAATATTTAAAAAGGTCTTCAACACTACAAACACTTTTAATATCATATGAGTTTTAACAATGCCACTGTTTCCAGTGATGGATTTTGTCTTTAGCCTTGTTCACACTTGAACAAAGCAAAGTTTTCATGGTGAGCAGCATGTGTGACCCATTAGTGTTGTTTCCTCATGAAGTTTGAGTGAGCTGATGTTAGAACGCAGTAGGATATAATCAGAAGACTTTGCATCCAGCGAGTAGGAGGGGGTGGTGACGTGTATTCCCTGTGTTCGGTGCACGGCCTTAAACTGTATGCACGAGACAGTTGCGATCTCTGTGCAATAATTAAATGGCTGCATTATGTTTTCCGTTCTCCAGGATGTTCTTCTCCTCCCTTTTGTTGATATTGTGATTCTGTTGAACTACACGCAGAGTTGATATAAAGGCATTGTTCTTTTTAAGTCATGTCTTGCCTCAGGAGATCCCTCTCCCACCCGACAGTGATCGGACATTCTTTGATGAAAATGAATCCTTTACAAATCCTTGCATTTACTTCTTGTGATAAAAACACATGATTTTAACTTTGATATAATTCTAGTAAAAATCAAACAATATAGTTTCTGTTTGTTACCGTGGCAGCAAAAGTAGAAGTCCTAGGCACCCAATTGTGTGTCATTAATTGTTTTCAATCAACAATTGCAGTGAAAGTCACTCTGTCTAAATTGCACAAATACATTGCAAATATATATGTGCAATTTAGACAATGATCTGTTGCTACACCTCGTCCTTCATTTAAAGCCCTTGTGTTTGTAGAAAAACACACTTTAACTGATGAGTAATTCTCAGTAAAAGCTTTCAACATGTGTGAGTCAGAGAAGTGGGGTCATCAGGGACGTTTGCTGCTGCTGTGTTTAAAGACGTTGTTCAACTCTGCTGCTTGTGTTTGTCCAAAAAAAGCTCAAAGTGAATCTATTTATCAAATTAACCCTGAAATTATCCCATCTGATCTGAGCAGCATTTTTGAACATGTTTTTCTTTACCTCACAAACATGTCTGCCCCTCCTCTGTTCAGTTTATTAGTATTGTTTCCTGTAATGTCTGTGTAACAAAGTTGTGTGTGTGTGTGTGTGTGTGTGTGTGTGTGTGTGTGTGTGTGTGTGTGTGTGTGTGCAGGGTGTTTGGTACGAGCATGGTGGAGGAGTATGAGGAGATTTCAGATTCACAGTACCCCTCAGAGAGACTGGAGTACCTGGATGAAGACTACGGTGAGACCACTGTTCCACGCTGACATTTTACTCCACTTTAACGATAATCAGTTCCTTTTGGCATTTATTTTAAATCAAGTCTTTTCAGCGGAGCATGAGGGACACAAGGGGAAGTTAAAATCTTAGATTTTGAGATTCAAGATGTAATTTAACAAGATTAAAGTTGTAAATTTACAAGTATAAAGTTTTAAACAACAAAACTTTGTTTAATCCGCTGTATGTTATGATGTTATTGCTGAATGTAACCTTTAATGTGTCCTTCCCTTCAGATTATCCTCCAGGCTATCAACCATCAGAAGACAAGGCCTCTAAAAACCTGCTCGGCTCAGCGACCAGTATGTACACACCCCCCCCACTCACACACGCATGCACGCACGCACAAACACAAACACACACACACATTTTTCTAGGACTGGCAAAATTCTAGATTTAAAAACATAAGACACAAAAGGATTCATAATGAACAAGCGTGGGTGAATTAATAACAGCACATGACGGAGGAGTGTTAAGGGGGGGAGAAGTAGGAATGGTTTCCACACTTTTACTTTGAAAGGGCCAACCCTGGAACGCTTTATAATCTCCTTGTCGTTTATGGCCGCAATTTATAGTTGAGGGCCCTTAAAGCTATAAGAATTCAACAAAAAGATCCCAGCAGATTTTAATTTGAAGATGTCCGTAAGTGTGAACCTGCTTGGTATAAAACATACACAAAGGGTTTTGGATGCAAATATTCATGCAAAAACACTCAGGTGTCCTCTGAGACGGCTGCAGCCGCACACACTAACAAGAGCTGTTCACACAGTTCTCCTTTGCTTGAACCAGAAAACCATGAAAAAAGTACAGAAGCACATGTGTTTGATCTAAAAAGGCCAGACTCAGAGGGGTACTGAACAATAGAAGGCAGGGGGCTGAAGGAAATCCTGAAACAGACAGAGAAGTCTGAGACTAAAGAGTCAGGTAGAAGAACTGAAGTTAAAGCAGTGTCAGAGAGGAGAGTAAAAAAACAAGAAATGAAATGCTAGTCTGGTTTCATTGGTGCATTTCTTTGCCCCAGGCTGCAGCCTACCAGCTTATTTCCAGGAACCTTTTAAACCTTTTAAAAATAACTTCACTGTTTGCATGTGTGTTTCGTCCTTTAGATGCAATCCTCAACATGGTAAACAACATCGCAGCTAACGTGCTGGGAGGCAAACCGGAGCTGGAGGGAGGAGCAGAGACAGGAGGTACTCACCCCTCTAACTCTCACTGCTGCTTCTTTACATCCTGCATCTCCATTAACGTCCTCACATACACCTCCTGTTAATGTCTAACCCAAACCCTTTTTTATCCTTGTGACATCTAACTGCTAAGATCTGTCTCTGAATCTGTGGGATGCTGCTTTTAAAACTCTGTTGACCTTTTAGCTTCACTTTGTTTTCAGCGGTATACAAAGTTCTTCCTTTACATTCGATCCTTCCTATCCTGTAAAAGTGCAGTTTGCTTTACAAGTCAAGGTCTTGACATGTATTTGCTTTGATTCTCTTTTTATTTTTATTTTTTACAAAAAATTTTATTTTTATTTTTTAAAGATTTTTTTTCAGGCATTTTGTGCCTTTATATCAGAGACAGGACAGTGGATAGTCGTAAATCAGGGAGGGAGAGAGAGAGTAGGGAATGACATGCGGGAAAGGAGCCACAGGCCTGATTTGAACCTGGGCCACCACTGCGCCACCAGCGCCCCATGCTTTGATTCTCTTGCTCTCTTGCTGATTCTTGACATGCAGTCAAACTGGTTTCACCTCAGAAAACACTTCATCATTTCCAGCTCTCGTAAAAAAAGATCCAGTTCTCGCAAAGAGCATGAGTCACCATCCTTCATCTTACTGTGGTTTTACTCTCTGTCACTCTTTATCAATTGGTAGCTTTCTTTTTAGTATGGTGTTTCTTAACACCTAAAGCAAAGGACATGCAGGTCATGACGTAAAAAAAAAGACGCTGCAGAAATCCAAGATGGTGGACGATGTGACAGAGTCCGACACTATAACGACAGTTTCTCCCTCATATCACTGCTATGTGTGATTATACGTATTCACAGCAACAATGATAGAGAGAGAGCGTAAAGGACATTCATTCATACTGCTGAGAAGAAAAGAGAATGAAGTAGTTTCTTTACGTTCACGTGATTTAAATTAATCTCTGAGCCCGCCTACTTGCTTGCAGTGAATTTTCCTAGATATTTCTTGCTACACAGAATTCACCCTCATCAGGAAATTTTCAGGAGCTATGTGCGTGTGTCAAAACAAATAAAACATCATGAAGTCAAACTACTTAATTTGGTGTTTCTATTGGTTTAAATAACTTGTAACTGTTTCATTTGGAGAGGAGGAGACCTCTGCAGATAATTCATCACCATTTCACATTCAACATTGAAGGGATCATCTCTTTGAAACTGAGCTTTTGACAGCAGCAGCTCCACTCGTAGCCTCGCTGTAAAGACACATATTGCAAACTGGAGTTTGCTGGAATCACAAAAAAGCACATTTCCTTCATTTTAAAAATAATATATAAAATTGATCTGCATTTTGACACCAGCCGTCTCCCCTCCTCTCAGCTCAAACTCAAAATGTTCTGCTGCATTTTTCCTCCTCTTCTTTCACTCTTTCTTTCCTCGTTGGCCGTCAGTCTTCCTACCTGTGTGTATGTTCATGTATATATGTGCTGAGGGAGCCACAGCTTTATTTAGTTTGTGGCTGGAGGCCTGCAGCAGCAGATATTTGCTTTCTATGTTTTCCTTCTTGGCAGGAGAAGTGATGCATTACAGTTGAGAGGGGGTCTGTGACGCAAAGCCCGTTACTCAACATTTACCCCACAGAGAGGCAGTTCAAAGCGGTCGAATCTAAGGGGGGGAAAAAACATATGCACAGATTGCTCTCCTTTAACTAAAACAAGATGTTTTGGGAAAGTTTTAAAATATGAAGAAAACTTGGAACACAAAGGGGATCAAAAAGTCTGCCATCTTTTTTTGTCACAGGAGTCCTAGTCTAGATTAACACCGACAAAGTAAGCAGAAGAGAGAGGGAGAGACCAGTTCTAACCAGAACAGACTGGTTCTCCGTTTTTTCAGACTTTCCCTAACATGGGCCTGCAGCCACTCTGAGCAGCCAAAGCCTCTCTATCCTGCTCTGCACTCCCACAGACTCATAAATCTGCTGCAACTGGCAACTTGTTTGTTTCTGTGCAATCTGAATAATTATGATAATTATAAGGTGTTATACTGTAAATCCTGTTTTCTGTTTTAATTGTTGTTGTTATTTTGGTTGCAGGAAACACAACGACAGAAATGGTTGAAAAACAGGAGAGCCCAGAAGAAACCTCTAAACCAGCTGAAACACCTCCAGACTCTGCAGTGTAAGACAAACCACAGAACTAGTATGTGTTAGAGATTTAAAACAGGATGTTAAGATCCAAAAAGACTAAATGGACAGTGTTAGAAATGAACAAAGCAAAATAACCCAAACACAGTAGAACATAAATAATTGCAAAATAACCACAACAACAAAATATATTGAGTTCAAACATCACAAGACTCATCACAAGGCAACACGAGGACCGAAGATTTCAGATAATGGGATCAACTGAAAGAGAGAGAAACAATAAAAAGAGCTCAAAGCAAAAACGAACAGATAACGAACAGATAACGACAATAAAAAAAGAGGTGAGCGCAACAGAAACAGGTGAAGAAATAATAATAATAAGGGCAATAACAGCCGAAGAAGATGACATCACATAAAAGAAGGTCTACAAAAGTGAGTTTTTTTAAGAAGTGATTTAAAAGAAGGGGCCGATTCTGTGATCGTTATCGCCTCAGAGGAGTCCAGATGGGGAAAGCCCTATCACCTTTAGTTTGAAGCGTCATCAATGGAGGTTGGATATTTGATTCCTGATTCGTTCCAGCTAGCCAGGAAATCTGATTTGAGAAATTTGGATTTGAGACACATCGCCAAGCAGATTTGTGGCTCAAAGTAAAAAGGTTTGATCTATAAAAGATTGTTAGCTGCACTTGAATTTTATCTGTTTATCGAGTTAGGTAATTCATCATCAGAACACTGCCTATAGGAAACTGGTCATTAGCTTGGATGAAGTGTGTTCTGTTTTTCCTGCACACACCAAAGCCTGCTTATACCTGATTGGTCAATACAGCTGTGTACAAATGTACTACAAACAGATACCAGGACACTTCCCATGTTGAAAATCCAGACCTCTGTACAGATTCTGTATTTGAATGTAATATCTTTAGAGATTTAAAGCTTATAAATGAGTATCTGTGTGTTTCCTGCAGACCGGATCCTGCAGAGCAGAAACATCTTGAATCCCAGGAGGACTCCTCCGTCTCCAGTGAGCCTCCGCCTCCTCAGCCCTCATCATTGGACTCTCAGGAGGACAGACAGATCGTCACCCTGGTGGAGGAGGAGGAGGAGGAGGAGGAGCCCAGACAGTCTACTGTCACTCTGATGGAGGAGGAGGTGGAGGAAGAGGAGGGGGAGAAGAGGGAGGAGGAGACGAGGAGGGAGGCAGACAGGAATATGTGGGAGAGTCAGACATACTGTCCCTTCTCCTCCCTCTCTTCCCTCTCTCTCTCCTGCATGGCCACGCTGCCCGAGCTGCTCCACCGCTGGTGCTCCGCCCGCCTCGCTAGGGAGCGTCTCCGCAGCCTAAAGAGGAGGCAGCTGAGCGTCCACACACAGACAAACACCCCTGCCCTCACGCACACACCTCCACTCCTCCCCACCCCTGTCCCCACCCCTCTGAAAGAAGCCCCTCCCCTCTCAGAATCGACTCCAGAGGCTGAGGTTCCTGTCCAGGGTCGGAGCGAGGAGCCAAACACACACAGTCCCGACACACACACTCCAGATCTCGTCATCCTCCTCGAGCCCAGCAGGACCTCCTCCCTCCCTGCCCACAGCTTCTCTGACTCCCACAGCTCCCTCACCTGGCCCACACCCACCCAGGAGGAGAAGCTGCTCCCCCCCGATCAAAGACGCAGCCCTCGACCCCGTCCCCACTCCTCCCCTCCAGTCCGCCTCTATCCCAGAGACTGAGCCGGCCAACATTGCCAGCCCCACCCTTTCTGTCAGCGCCCCCCCTCAGCCTGTAGCCACGGAGACACCCTCTCCTACCCTGGAGGTGCTCACCACGCTGAAGGAGCATCCTGTACAGCCTCTCCCCACTGTGACAAGGCCTGAGGACCTCATCCCCCCTCCCACTGAGCTGCCCCCATCTCCCCCTCAGACTGAACCCCCCTCAGACTCAATGAAGGCAGATATTGGGGACCCTCAGAGACACCTGGCCCATCAGACTCATGGTGAGCAGGGGGACTCCCTCTCCCAGACAGGTGACCCCCACCGGGTGGAGGACTCAGTGGAGGACGAGCTTCTGAGCTCTAATGGGAACGCCCACCGCACGGCGACGGACTTCTACGCAGAGCTGCAGAACGGGGGAGATTATAACGGGGGTGGACTAATTGGGAACGGGGTGATGTTGAACGGGGGGACAGTGCACGGCTCCAGTCAGAAGGAGAGCGTCTTCATGAGACTGAACAACCGCATCAAAGCTCTAGAGATGAACATGAGTCTGTCGAGCAGATACCTGGAGGAGCTTAGCCAGAGGTAAAACACCAGCTTTCTTCACAGTCGGATTCCTCAACAGCACCAAAATGAAACTCTGCCCACATTAGGTCTCTGTCTTTTCACATTGATTCTGTAACAAGGTAGTATTTGTGTCACAGTGTGATATTTCACATTGTGTTAGAGCGCTGCAGAAGTGCAACATGTAAACATATAGCGGGGCTCAACACACACACACACACACACACACACACACACACACACACGCACACGCACACACACGCACACACACAGCGTAGGCTCCACCATCTAAAGTGACCCTCTCCGCCCCTTAAATGCCTCTGTTACTACCTCCCATGGCCAAATATTTACAAGACTAGAAAAGTGATGTTGTATTTCTAGAGTTGAAGAAGCTGCAAACACATAAAAATGTGCTGGTCAGAATGGACAAATAGATAACACACATGCATGCAGTGAACAGGAGACAGAAGATCTTCTAACTTTGATTTCCCTTGGTTGTTTTTGGAGGCGTTGCCTCATTTAAAACAGCTGGTGACACCTTCACCTCCAATCAGCAGATAAAAAGCTTATGTAGAAGGAAAGACAACATTTCTGCACATTTCAACATGTATTAGTTGCGTGATGAAAGCCCTGCACTTCTTCGGCAACAGCTGAGTCTCAGCACACAGACAGTTCTGTGTTAATATTACATGGGAGGGAAGATAAGGTTGTTCTGATTGTTTCTTGATCTTATTTATGTAATTTTTTAAGATAGTGTCTTACAGATGACTATCCTTAAACTAAATTAATGAGGGGCAAAAGAGAGCCTAGTGGTCATGTTGTGGGGCCCATGTTCAGAGACTGTTGTCGTCGTCACAGCGGCCATGGGTTCGAATCTGACTTTGGCCATCTGCTGCATGTCATCCTAAACTCTCTCTTCCCAGTTAATGTTGTGGGTTTTTTTTTTTTTTTTTACAGATACCGTAAACAGATGGAGGAGATGCAGAGAGCATTCAATAAGACCATCATCAAGCTGCAGAACACCTCCCGCATTGCAGAGGAGCAGGTCAGTTTAAACCAATCAGAGCAGGACAAGTCCAAGTGTAAACAGGAAACAGTGGCTTGTTCTGACTGACAGATGTTTTACTGTCGTGTTTCATCAGGATCAGAAACAGACCGACTCCATCCACATCTTGCAGAGCCAGCTGGAGAACGTCACCAAACTGATGCTTAACCTCACGGCTACAGTCGGCCAGCTGCAGAGAGAGGTAGCACACCTGGAACACCTGGAACACACACACACACACACACACACACACACACACACACACTTAAAGTACTGACAGCTGACTAAGACTGCATCATGTTCATAGACTGTAAAGAGTAAAAATGTGCACACAGGTTGACTCTGCTGAAAGTGTTGGTTTATTTACAGCAGAGTGGTGGTTAGAGGAACAAAACTTTTCATCAGATTCCTTGTTTTTTCATGTCTAACACAAACCAGACCAGAAATGTGTAAATTTGACTTCTTGGAATTCAAAATGATCTCAGTAACAAGGTGTTGGAGGTTTTAATAGGAGGGAATCGAGGCTGTGCAGCACATGTGAGATGTTTAAAAGAAACACTGCAGAAAGAAGAAAGAACATAGACTGATGGAAATAATGTGACTCTAATAATTGAAGCCGCTCATGCAAACTGAACAAGAAACAAGAAAGAAAGCTTTGTTCAGAAATAGTCGATCAGTTGGTGAAACTTTAACCACGAGAGAGGACAAACACACAGAAACATGAAGAGAACATGGAGAACAAATGGTACAATAGTCCAAAATATGTCTGGGACTTTATCTCAGAATTGTGTTTTTGAAATCCGTCCTCTCTTTATGTTCAGCGTCTGATGTCAAACTTTCACCTCCTGACCTTCACTGAGAACAGAGTTAGAGATTCAGCTGCTGACGAGGGGACATATAGAACATATCAGCCTTTAATTACATTATAAATACAAAGATATATGAATGTATATGGAATCTACCTTATCGCCACTGGGACTATATGTCTAATAAAGACATAATCTTAAAAGTCAACATATGCTTTATATGTTTAATCTTCTTTGAAGACAAACAGAAGAATGTGTATCCATGTTAATTAAGAGCTTTAGTGTCAAAGTTGACAGGAACAAGAAAAAAATAATCCTGGTTTTTGTGAATCTGGGCCAATCTGGGCTTCACCTGTAATTTTCAGAGTTTGGCTGTTTTCCTCTGCAGGTGTCGGACCGTCAGAGTTACCTGGTGGTCTCTCTGGTCCTGTGTTTGTTTCTGGGTGTCCTGCTGTGTCTGCAGTGCTGCCGCAACTCTTCTCCAAAGCCCATCACCAACACTGCTGCCCTGCCCAAGAGCAACTACTACCCCAGCCCTAAGAGGTCAGACACACACACACACACACTCATTTTGTTACAACTGTACTGTCCATAAGAGCTATACGTCTCCTACTGATAATGGGTTTAAATAGGAGGTACTGAAGGATTTATAGACATCACTTGTTATCTAATGCTAATAAATAAGCGTGATCATATCACTTTGTAAACATTAGCGTTTATTTTTCTCCTCAGGTGTTTCTCCTCATACGATGATATGAGCCTGAAGCGAAGGGTGGCTTCTCCTCTTGTTCGCTCAAAGTCTTTCCACTTGTCCTCTACGGATGGTAAGAGCCCCGCCTCCTAAATACACACACGTCACACACACACACACACACATAGACACATCACTCTTCAGACCGGCCTTTGTTTTCCTCTCCTCTGTGTTTCCCTGATCATTGAAACATTTAGCCTTCATGTCAGGATCATGTTATCTCTGCTGTAGACCTCGCTGTAGATTCTTGCAGCTCTTTCTTTACTCTCATTCTCTCTGTCTGTATCTCTGCTGTATCCTGTCACACACACACACAGACACACACACACACACACACACACACACACACTCACACACTCACGTGGCCTTGCGCAGAGGCTAATGTGTGTGTTGCTTCAAGCAGCTCGAGCCTTCAGGGAGGGACTGCTGCAAACACTGAAGAATGAAAATCATTGAAACTCATGAAACCTTAAACTCCCCCTGCTGATCATTATCCCTCAGCTGCGTGTGTGTGTGTGGGTGTGTGTGTGTGTGTGTGTGGTGCGTGTGTGCGTGTGTGAGGCTGTCATTGCCAGCTTGTGTGCACATGCAGGCTGAAGGAGTGTAATAATAGAGCATGGTGGTGCTTCGCTGGCTCGTAGACGTTTGCAAGTAGTGATCTTAAATCAAATTGCCTGTTTTCTGTCTGATTTTAGGTTGTGTATTTTTTTGTTATCTCTTTCACACACATAATTAGAATTTATTTATATATTTTGTGCATCTTTAATAAAACTACTTGCAAGGTCACTTCATGCTTGTGACATGTATGTTTTCCTGTTGCTCATTCCATCATTAACCCCCCCTCTCTCCCCTCCCCAGTAGGTCCAGATGACTTGTACATTGTAGAACCTCTAAGGTTTTCTCCAGAGAAAAAGGTACAGTGACTGTTCCACCTGAGGCCGCTCTGTCTGTCTTATTACTGTGTTAGACATTCTGATGTGTGGAGCAGCTGAAGAGAGCTCACGTTTCCTCCTCATACCCTCTCTGACTCTGTGGGTACATGCATGAGTACATGGTGGCATGGTGACTTGCATCACAGCTCTGGGATCAGTTATAAAGTCTGTGTTGTGTTATAAAGGGTTGTGATTTTTTAAAATAAAGTTTTTATTCTTTTTCACTGCACTTCTATGTTGAACTACATTCTGCTTATGTGCAAATCTTTGCACTAAAATAAATCTCAGTCTAGGTGTTTTCAGACAGCAGGAACCTTTTTATAGTTCTAGAAACTTTTGGAACCTTTCCCCCCTTTTATTCATCCCTCAATGCAGGAACTATGAACTATTTTAGTTCAGAGAACCCCATTTAGAGGAACCCTTTTTTAGCTTTTTAGGAAGAAGCCAAGTGTTTTGCTCAGAACTGCAGAAAGTTACAGTCTGCAGCTGTAAAGTCCATACTTGTCTTTTGCACTCGCATTACTTTAGGATACTAAATTTGATATAAAACTGGGTTGCTTCTGTTATCCCAGGACATGTTGTTGCCACAATGATGTCCATTTTATAGTAAGAATCTTAATCTTCAATGAAATTGATCATGAGCAAATTGTGCAGCTCTGCTTTATTTAGTCAAATGTTCTTGAGATTATTTGTTTCCTTCATCATTCCCCCCTAAACTTTCCCTCCTCTGACCTGTCTGTGACCTCAGTGTCTCTTACAAAAGTGTTCGATATGTTTTTACATTTTCAGGTGTGTTTCATGTTTCTCTCCATGTTTTGATCTCCCCCCTCCTGCCCTCTCTCTCTTTCTGCAGAAAAAACGCTATAAGACAAAATCTTTGGACAAAGTCGAGGTTCTGAAGTGTGAGTTGTCTCTCCCGCTCACAAACGGGGGACCAAAGTGTAACGGCTTCCAGCCGTGCCTCCCTGAACCTCCACCACCACCTCCCCCTCCTCCTCCTCCTCCCACTCCTCCTCCTCTTCCTCCGCCTCCTGCTATCCCCTTACCTCCCCCTTCCTTTGCAGAGCAGATACCATCCCTGCCTCCTTCAGAGACCAGCAGTTGCAGCTCATCCACACACTCTGAGGAGTCCTACACGAGCCGCCTCCCCCCTCCCTCCCCAAGCTTCCCCTCCGCCGGTCTCTGCAACGGCCACCCCCTCCCCCTCCAGCAGCAGACCCCCCTTAACAAGTCCCGTCAGGAGAAGCGCTCGATGAAGAGGAGGAAATCACGGCAGACGGAGCTGCAGTTCCCTTCTGTGACAGGGGGGCGTGTGGAGTCCCTGCCCAGCCTGCAGCAGCTGATGAAGGGAAACAAGGAGATCAATGTGGGGACCATCGGGGTGACCGCCGTCACCGGACACGTTTAAAAAAAAACACACAGAAACTTTATACACATACACACTTTATGGTAGCAGACTCACGTAGGAAGGAGATGAGATCGTACTGCATCCCAAAGAACCACATTTCCCATGAGCACCCAGATACACCGAGGAGCTGTAGCAGAAAGGAGCTCAGCCTCCTCTGACCCCGCCCTCCGTCAGAGACCTGTTTACGGTTACGTGCCTTTTTATCTGTTAAAGCTAAAGACCTGATGATGGACACAGAGACATCCATTACATCCATGTTTTTCTAATGGAGAAGCACATTACCCCCGACAGGTGAACATTAACTCCTCCCCCCCTGTGAGCACAGAGAGCGGAGGCCCCGCCCTCAGCTCTTCTTCTACTGCAGGAAGGTCATGAAGTATTCTGCTGCTCTGTGGATGAAAAATGGGAGCGTGACTTCTCTTCCTCATTTCCTGTCTTCATTTCCACTTCTCTATCTTCATGCCGCATCCTGACAAGACTGCAGGTGTGTGTATGTGGGACCAGAGTGTTCAACTTTGTGCTTCAGATTGTGTGTGTGTCTCTGTCAGTGTGTTCCAAAACCGGCCACCATAGCTGAATGAAGAATTTTCTGCATGTGTGTGAACCTTTGAGTCCTTTCACTTTAGTTTCTTTGTTTATTCTTAAATTACAAACTCAGACGCAGCAGTTTGAAGATCCTCAGAGTTCAGATTTGTTTGGGCTGGGCCCTGAGAGCGCGCGCACACACACACACACACACACACACACACACACACACGCACACGTGAAGAGGAGCTGCTGAAACAGGCTACAGGCAAACTACTGTCTTTTTTCTTCTGATGTATTTTATTATTTCTCTTCTTATTTTTGCAGCCAGTGTGGAGTTAAGGTTTCGGGATCAGGGTTAACTATACTGTAGGAGCACGTTAGGTGGAGAGCTTAATGTTTACACTTCCGTTACACACACACTTTTGCGCACACACACACAGACTACTACTGGGACTCTGCAGCCATGTCTGACTGAGTAGTTTTATTTATCTATTTATTTATTTAACAGAGGACAGATTTTGTACACGAGGCTCAGCCTGTCAGCCTGCAGAGTCACAGTAGATCCTGAAAGTGTTGCACAGAATTATTTCAGAGCGTACGTATATTTGAATGGCTCTTTTCTTCTTCTCTGATTTTGAATAGGTCTGAGTAGAGTTTGCTTGGGCCATATACATCCTTCAGGTGTGCGTTGAGTTGCTCGTCCTGCAGCAGAGGACTTTAAAAGGATCGTCTCAGCGCTGCGTTTGTGTCTGTTCAGAGCTGCTAGTGGAAAGGGCCTCACCGAGTCTCGTCCCGTTTTCTGTCTTCTTGTTTGTCGTCTGATTTTCGCTCGCCCTGTCAATTATATTAAGCCTCATCTCCGTTTAAACTCAGAGGGTTGTGTGAACTTTTGCAGGAAGTCACAGGCGCCATTCTGTTTTTAAACAGTTTTCTTTGTGTGAGCACTTTCTGAGCGGCTCTGTGTGGTCGGTCTTGTGTTCATTTTGACAGAGACAGAAGATCTTCATCATTTCCTCTCTGAGCTCCTCCTCATCCTCCTCCTCCTCTCACATCTCTCTCCCCTCCATCACTCTCCTCTCTGTGACTGTGAACTTTAAACATGCCTGCTTTTATTAACCACTCTTACATGTTTTCATCCAGAGCCTGAGCTCTCTGTGCACCCCCACGCTCACTCTTTAATCCACACCTTATTACTCTTCATGTGTAACCCCCCCCCCCCCCCATGATTTTGAAGAGAAGGATATGAACTGTCGATGGATAAAGGGAACGCAGCAGAGATGGATGATTCTGTTTGTTCCACACGCCGAGAGAATCGTCGTTTTTTTTTTACCCTATTGAATGTGTATGATCTTGTGTGTGTGTGTGTGTGTTTACACATGTATGCATGTGAGGAGTGTTATTGTTGACCTCATGTATGTGTGTGTAAGACTACTTTGAATCTACTTATCCTGTAACACAGCGACTAGGAGGAGAAATTCTCAGAGTGCACTTTGTATGACTCCTCATGCCTTTTTTGTTTTTCTACCTTTTATTTCAAGTGCTTTCTTTTCTCTCCCTCTCTCTCTCCATCTCTCTCTCTCTGTGTGATTACTCTGAAGAGCTGCACAGGACTCTTTGAGCAGGAGTGAGTTACTACAAAACTGTAGTGCCATTAGAAACTGTGAATTTCTAAATAAAACCTTTTTTTGTTGTCTTTCACATTGGTGTTGTTTTATTTAATTTGGAGGTCTCTTCATGTTCAGCTGTAAAGTCATAATGTCTTTACCTATAGGAAAAAACACGTTTGAATACACCAGTTAAAGGCTTTACAAACACTAAATGAATAATAGTCATGATAGTGTGTAAACTGATAAGAAACAGAAAATCTGAGGGTTTTTTTGTCTTTGAGGAGACTCTGATAGGATGATGATTGTATACATGCACTGACAAACAAAAGTATTACATTAATGCACATGCATATGGAACCCTGAAGAGGACATGCATCCACTCAGTTTTCTCAATAGCGAGAAGGTGTGTGTTGTTTTCTTGAGAACTTGTCACATTTATCTTCCTATCTCAGAGTAACAATGCTGGTTTTCACACTTGCAGATATTTGCAAGAGCTGTATGTGTGAACGCAAACAGCCACATTTTTCACACAGAGTTTCTCCTGCAAGCACCCGAGTATTGTTTCTGCAGACGCTCGGGTCATCTTTGCATCACTTCACACACAGAACAGGATGGATGTGTGAGGCACCTCTCCTCATGATGCCTTCATGTGTTGTAGGAAATGTAAAAAAGAATTGTCACAATGTTTTCACATACGAGGAATTTCCTTGAAAGAAAATATAAAAGCAAGGCATCAAACAGAAACTCAACTATTTGATATGAAAGCATTTATGAGCAATTTTTTGCCAGAACAGAGTATTTCTTCAAAGTTTACAAATCCAAAAATGTCTCTCTTTTACGAGAGAGACCTGGCTAATGTAGCAGCCATACGAACTCACAAACACAAACAAAACAACACAACATTCTACAATTCACTTAGCAGACGCTTTTATCCAAAGTGACGTACATCAGAGAGTAAATACAACACAAGCAAGGATCTAGAAAAAAGGGAACAATGTCAGTAAGAGCAAACGATCAGCTTTGAGTCCGATTGGACACACAGGTGCTGACAGGAAGTGACCAGAGGCAAAGCACAACGTTGATGGCAGTTCTTGAGAGCTCTAATCAGTATAGAAACCATCTTATAAGTCATCGTTATCAAACAAAAACCATCGTCACAACCATCATCATCAATAATAAAAATAACCATCATCATTAAATGAAGTAACATGAATCACAACAAGTTCAAACAGGTATTCAAATGAACATTCGCCCCGTAGTAGAAAGAAAGACTACATGGCTCTGTCTCCATGTTCTTTCATGGTATTTTGAAATCTGTTAAAGAGATATCAGTGCGTCTAATTTGGCATTTTTCAAAGATGATTCCACATCAAGGTCATAATTGATTTTTTAATCTTTTTTTTTGTGTTTTTCATTTTGACTTTCTGTTTTCAGTTAAAGTTTAGTTTTAATTAGTTATTTAATGCTGGTCTGTTATTGTAATTGGGTTTGTATTACATTTAGTGTTACTTTTAATTTTGTTTTCGTATCATAAATGGTTCAAATACAGATATCAAGTAACTTCTTTTTTCTTTTAACTAAAATGTAAGTCAGAGAAAAAATTTAACTTCAACAGTCAGCAAGCTCGTCAAAACAACCTGACGTATCTGAGACGAACTGTATGATTAGTGTCACTCAGTGTGTTTGTGTTACAGATGAAAACTGTGAGGCTTCGTTTTTATTTATTTCATTCTCAGTTAATGAAAATGTTTTACATTTTAGTTTTCATTTCTTTGTTTCTGTTTTTGTTAACGATCGATAATACTGACTACTCCTGGGTCAGAAGCCCAGCCTTACACCTTCCTGAGATTCTGCTGCTTGTTTTTACAAGACTCCCAAATCTCCTCTTATTGGCCAGGTTCAGGCTTTCAAACCATGCAGCAATATAAAAGCTTAGAACAGATTCAATAAGTCGTCTGTGAAAGACATTTTTATTCAACCTTTCTTTATATTTTAATGACTAGTAACTGTTAGTACGAATGTTCAGAGCAGAGGTGTCAAACTCATAAGGTCATAAGGTCGGAGGCCGCATTTGTTCAAATGAGAGCTGACTTTGTTTATTAATACAGTCACAAAACATCTCATGAACCTTAAAGATTTAGTTTGGCCTTTAAATCAAAGAAGACACATATTCTCCTGAAAGGCTCGTTGGTGTCAATATCAACACAGGACTAGTCCTCTGGATTAGAGATTATCTTTCCTGTCGTCCACAGAGGGTTCGTGTCAGAAAAACCCCCTATTTACAAATTCATTTAAGATCAATGACAAAGATTTCATCATATTTAAGTATGAGGATGATGTGGCCCTTGTTGGGCTGTTACAGTAAAATTATCCTTTAGGTGAAGCTGTGGATTTGTCACACACAAAGGCCCTGCAGACATGGTGCCGACACTAGCCGGCTAGAAATGAATGTAGACAGGAAAAAATAGTGAATGATCTGCACTAAATAAGATCTGAAAACACAGCCAGTCACACTTGACAGCCAACTTATCTAAACTTTTGAAGTTTTTAAATAGCTCGGCACAGGACTGTCAGTTTAGCTTCTCTGAAAATACAGAGGATATTTCCAATTCCAAGATATGCTCACAGCCACTTTATCTTCTTAAAAAACAAAGTGGCCTTGGTGTGAGTCAGCAAATCTTAGAACTAGGGTACAAATCTATTGTTGAGTGCGTCTTAACTTTCCACCCAGCTGCCTGGTACGGCCACAGGCCACTTGAACTGTAGATTTAAGAATACACTCTCTAAGATTGTGTCAACAGTAGGTGAAGTACTGGGCAAACTAATTCCCATTCTCTCTTCTGCCAGTTTGAGCCTCTGAGCACAGGGTGGAGCTATAGAGCCCTCTAGCAAATAACAATATATTTAAGAAGTAATTGATCAAGTGCAACAAACACCATTAACCTTATAATATGCCAGATGAAATCTGAACCATGACATGAACTTTTTTCACTATAATAATAATAATACATTGTATTTATATAGCACTTTTTCACTCAAAGACACTTTACAAAGTTATAAATAGACAAAGCAAGTTAATGGAAACAAAAAACGTTTTTAATTTGTACATTTAGCTGCTGTGTTTGTCTGTGATCATGTTTACCTAAACGTTTTATGTTGCTTTGTGTGTCTGGACCTCTGGTGGACAATTAAAGATCTATTCTATTCTATTCTATTTTATTTTATTCCATCGGGGGGTCAGACTAACTTTAGCCAACATCGCTGCCTCAACACATGGATGTATAGGATGTTGGCTAATTTATTAAATAAAATCATTCAATATAAAGTACTTCAGTACCCATCAGTGATCACTGAATGTTAACGCAGAGTAAATGTAAAATGTAATTATGCAGAGGGGTAACAAGCAACAAGTTACACAAAACTTTATGCCTGACTGCCGAAGATCTGAATACTCTGGCATTATCTAATAATGACTTTATAAGACTGACAGTGAAAAACAGTGCAAACTGCATGTTGGCTCATGAAATTAAAGAAAATGTTCAACATTATAGGATAAATGACAGTAATTAGACTATATTTATAGCGTTGATAAAGTAGGAGCGTTTTCATTTTCATGAGCAACACCACCTCCGGCCAGGCGGCGTCGCTGTGGGCAGAGCGGGGCGCTGTTTACCTTAATCCAAAAACATCATGGAGGACGAGCTGGATGTTGATATCGAGGGAGAAGAGTTTGACAGCAGTATGAGGTTATTATGTTTTCTATTTTGGATTTCTTAACACACTTTCTGTCTGCTGGTTCTCTCTGTCGGGGTGCAGACCGGTTCACCGGGACCTGGGTCTGGTTTCTTTTCCCGGAGGAGGAGGGACAGCGGAGTCAGCTCGCTCTCTGTGTGGCAGCTGGACATTCTCCTGATGTTTTTATGATGATAAACAGAAATCCAAATGTGTATCTTTAATGGTGATGTAATGTGTGTGTGTCAGTGAGCTGCAGGGGGCAGGTTTAGCCCAGGAGCCGTTCTTACAGTCTGCGTGGAGGAGCAGCGCGGGAGTTCTGGTATGAGAAGATAACACCTGCAGCTATTTGTTTACTGTTTAGCTGATGGACTGGGTTTGTTTGTGTTGTCTCTGTTTCTTCCTCACTGTCTGTCTGTCTGTCTGTCTCTGTGTGTGTGTCTGTAGCCGTGGGAGCTCGACAGCTCCATCAGTCCGGAGAACAGGGAGGTGATAGAGAAGATGCTGCTGGAGGAACAGTATCCTTCCACTGTCCTTGAACGCACCACGCAGAGAGAGTAGAATAGAAAATGCTCTATTGTCCAAGGTTTTTGATAGCACATGTTTTAAAATGATCAATCTCTGTTTTTAAAATGAACAATTGTATAAAGTCAAACTACAGATCTTACCACAGATCCCATAATATCCTTATTTTCACCTTTCATGTGGTCAGTAAGTGAAACCTATAGAGTAGCTTTGCATTATTTCCAGCTAAAACAACTCCTTTATAGTTCATACTGGCTTCTCAAAGTTAGGCCTTACGACTGAAACCGTTTGTCTTAGCTGCTGTCTCTTTAAGGCCCCCCTCCCCACATGCCCACTTTCTCTGATTGGTCAGCTCTCTGGAAGCTTTCTGGGGGCAAAACGCTGCAGGGCTGCCAGCAGAGGGCTGCTCTCCAGTGCTAGGGGGAAGAAAGCCTATGTAAGAGGTATTAACAGCTTACACAGAGGCTTGAAGCTGTCTGGTAAAAATCTTGGTTTGATATCGGGGAACAATGTCGTGATTTGCAGAACAAGCTGTTTAGGGCCCTCTGACTTATCCTAAGATTACTCCAACATACATCTTCCTCTTGATCTGAAACTTTGCCCTCACTTAGCATGGACTTCCAGCTTTGTAAAACTATATGTGAGTTTCAAATGGCGATCAGCATTATGGGTCAACTTTAACCAAAAGCTGAGAGGAGAAATAGAGGGAGAGCACTGTCTAAATTTTGCCTTTACATTGACCGAAAGTATTGTACAGTTAACAAAGCTTTAATAATAGTCTACATGCAGTGGACATATATGGTTATCATTTGGTTATTAAGGTGTTTACAGCTCCATTAAAAAACAAAATTTCCATTTCTGAAGTTTTACTTTGAACAAACATTTATCTGATGTATCTTCTATTTGTGGTTTTACATTTTACAAACAGTACATACAGCCTTCAAATGTTGACAAAATACCATTACTGACATTTTGCGAGCTTTTAAAACTATAGAATTCCGTTTTTAAACGTCAGTGTGAAGTGTGTTTGATCCGATCGACTGTTAGGATGCCACTCATCATTAAATCTGTTGGTCCTTAGCTGTACCTTTAGATACTACCTGACAGGTGAGCAGGTTCAGAATCATATCTGGGAGAGTGACACAAACAACAAACTAAAAGTGAAGAAGTAAGTCAGTTATTCCCCGTATTATCACCAGTCTTTCTTCACTGTTGTTTGTATTCATGTCTCACTGTTTCTCTGCTGGATGTTCAGGTCTCCAGCAAAGAGCTCCACCTCAGGATCGTCGTTACGCTGGTCCAGACAGGAGAGAGATTTGTTTGAGGAAGGACTGGTAAGCTGGAGTCTACCTGCTGCTCAGGTGTAACAGCAGCAACACCAATTTCCAACATAGCGACCGCCACCGTTCAGCTTCATAACTGTTCTTTAGAGACCAATTACATTTGAGCCTCAACTTTGAAACAACCAAAAGGGCGCCACTCGATGATCTCATACAGGGTCAGCATTTCAGTAAAATCTTAAAATCAATTCTTAAAGTGAAAGGGAGCCAGTGGAGGGAAGCGGGGATATAGGATGAGACAATATTGTTTAGCTTGAAGAAGGCTTTTAGATAAACAAAAGGAACTGATTATTCAGCTCTTCAGGTAAACAAGGTGCATCAGAGAATTTAACCTCAAAACAAGATTAGCACCTCAAAACAAGCTAGATATCAGCAGCTTGATTTGCAGCTCCTCTCGATGGCCTCTGTTGTCTGAATTGCCTTGGTTAAAACAGATTTGTTTTTGAATGTGAAGATGCTTTACTCAGTCTGGGTTCCATCACTGGGTCAGTGTGCTTTTAAGAAGAAATGAGCTCTGAGAATGTTTCAGCTAAAGTAGGAAAATACTCAACTTTTATGTTGTGACTCCTTTTGTAAAGCTCACAGCCTGTTCCTCAAACGTGTAAAAGTGTAGATGTTCCAAAGAAAAATACTTTTCTAATCAGCAGTGTCGTATACTTCTATGTGTGAGTGGATTATTATTTCAGACAAGAAGCATGAGTGTGTTGGTGTCTGAGGTGTGTTTCTCTCCAGGCTCAGTTTGGTCGAAGGTGGACTAAAATCTCCAGGTTGCTGGGCAGTCGCTCGGTCCTTCAGGTGAAGAGTTACGCCAGGCAGTACTTCAAACACAAGGTGAGTCTCTCCTTCACCTTTTACCAATTAAGTATCCCTGATATGTTCCCCAGGAGGGGTTTTAGCAACAATTATGTAGAACCTCTTTCTTCATCTGTTTTTTTTTTTTAATTCAGGCTAAATCTGAACCCAGACCGGCAGCTCCCCCTGAAGGTCCTGCCCCGCCCCTGCAGCCTCTTCAGTCCACCTCCAGTCAGACCCCAGCTCTCACAAACACAGTGCGGATAGAGAAGCTGTCCGATGAGGAGGATGAGGAGGTGGACATCACTGATGATCTGAGTGATGAAGGACAATCCTGTAAACGCGAGCGGCTAACAGGGACGGAGATCCTCACAGACCGCCCCACGCAGGAGCACACAGATCCGGGTCAGACTGAGACTGAGGACCAACACTGCACCGAGTCTACGCAAAGTCCCGAGCCAAACGCTGGAGGGACGGAGCTGGAGCAGAGAGGGACAGAAGCTATGACGGACTCGGAGCACGAGGACCAGAGTTCCCAGTGTGGGAGTCCAGTTCAGATGGATGAGGGCTGCAGGGACAGCTTAGGTGAGACCTCATGGGTCTGCGTAAGAACATTCCCACGCGTGGTATTTATCAACTTCTACTTGTACTGAGGGATGAGTGTGAATATAAGTACAGCTCTGACCGTGCTTACAAAAGAGAATCTAGTGTTTGAAGATTAAACGAAGAAAAGAAAGTGTCACAGTACACACTAATCAACATCCAGGAATATTCTGAGTATTCTTTAACTAAAAACACTGAAATATAAAAATAAAAAAAATTCTAGTTTGAAACTGACACGTTGCCTAATTGTGTCTGTTTCTGGGTGTAATTAATATGGTATTATTCTGTCCTCCAGCTGCAGGTACTTCCCACTTGTTCATTGTGATTTGTTTATTTTTTTCAGGGCGCAGTCTGCCTGATGGAGCAGAAGAAGAAGAACAAGAGGAGGAGGAGGAGGAGGAGGAGGAGGAGGACGAGGAGGAAGAGGAGCTGAAGGCTCCGGAGCAGGAGGTACACATGGACATGGAGAGCATCAGTGAGGATGAGAAACAAGCTATCCCCGAATTCTTTGAGGGGCGACCATCGAAGACTCCTGAAAGATACCTGAAGATCCGAAACTACATCCTGGATCAATGGTGAAAGCTGACACACGATTGGTCGCTTGTTTCTTCATCTCTCTGAAGAAGAGGAAGAAGAAGAGCTCATGCTGTTTGCTTTGTTCACCAGGATGAAGAGTAGACCCAGATACCTGAACAAGACCTCAGTCCGGCCCGGTCTGAAGAACTGTGGAGACGTGAACTGCATCGGGAGAATTCACACGTACCTGGAGCTGATCGGAGCCATTAACTTCAACTGTGGTGAGTTCACTGAACCTGGGACAACATGTTTCTGTGCCTCTTCAACCCTCTAAAATACAATTTGTGCCACAGAGAACCCCTTAAATTAACAAGTGTACTGTGTAACAAGTGTACAACTAGTGCATCAGTGTACTGATGTTTCTAAAGTCTTATAAAGATGCAAAAGTTCTGTTTATGTCTCTTACAAACAAACAGAGAGCAGCTGTGTTTGTTCAATTAAGACAGAATGCAGGAGTTTGTCTGCAATCTCTAGTTATCATAAACAATATGAGTTGCCTAGGACTTTGTTGCCGTGGTATCAATGTCCTCCTTTTCTTGGTTTTAGTGTAAACTAGGGATGTCCATTTCAAGAAAATGTGCTAATTCCAAAGTCAATGGCATTCATTTGAATTGTATCTGTATTTATTGGATGTATTGCTGGTGATTACTTTTCTCAGAGATAGACCAGGATGTATGTCTTTCTTTTTTTAGCTTGATGCTAACACATTATTAAACATTGTCACTATCAGAGCATCTCGGTTATTTAAACAAACAATCTATTTTACTGAAAGTTAATCACGACAGATCGTTCCTTCATCTCTTCATGTTCTGTCTCCGTGCTGTCTCACAGAACAAGCCGTCTACAATCGTCCGAGGGTGGTGGACCGATCCAAGCAGAAGGAGGGCAGGGATGTGAGGGAGGCGTACCAGCTGGCTCAGAGGCTGCAAAGCATGGTGGGTAATCATCAGATCCGAACATCGTTTTAAGTAAGTCAAGTAAACCTGACTGTGAGCTAACTGCTGATTGGCTGCTCGTTGTAGCGGACCAGGAAGCGGCGTGTGCGGGACACGTGGGGGAACTGGTGTGACTCTAAAGACCTGGAGGGACAGACATATGAGGTAAGGACACACACACACACACACACACACACACACACACACACACACACACACACACACACACACACACACACACACACACACACACACACACACACACACACACACACACACACACACACACACACACACACACACTGCAGTTTATTATTGATCAGTGCGTAACTTCACATCAGTTCATTTAATGATGCTGTGTGTCTTTCAGCATCTCAGTGCAGAGGAGCTCGCTCTCAGGAGAGAAGAGATGAAGAAGCGTCAGAAAACCAGCAAGAGCTCCAAATTAAGAGAGTGAGTGTGATGGATACATGAAGCTTTGTTTTATGTTTGTGTAAATATTAACAGTCACACTCCTTCTTTCAGGTCTTTGGATCCGTTCCAGTTGATTCCCTGCCGGACTTTTGGAGAAGAAGTTCAGGTGAGAGTATGTTTACCTCATCATTCAGTGTCAGAAATGCCGCTACAAGAGTACATGAGGCTGGAGATAAGGGACGCAAAACACAACTCAGGGAGTCAGGAAGCACTGACATTTATTACTTAGATGATAGTTGATTTATATCAACAACAATAAAAGAAACTAAAAATGTAACCTATGGAGTTAAAAAAGAAGGAATCAGGTGGTGCAGCCACCCATGACGGAGTGGAATTTTAACTTTACAAATTACAGACATGGTTGATTAGCACAGGATTAAAACACTGCTGTTTGATATGACATCCCTCTGTTAGCATTCACACAGCCTCGTATTACATTCCCTCCCGTATCACCCAGAACCCAGCTAACAAATTAAAACAATAAAGCAATCAAATTGTTATTAAAAGCTTCTGTTTGCTGATCCCCCAGGAACCATTCCAGGTCATTGTGTGTGCAGAGACTCTCCTTATCATGGACATGGTACGCAACACACACGCACGCACGCACGCACGCACGCACGCACGCACGCACGCACGCACGCACATCTCAGTTTATAAAGTGCATTTTATTTCTCTATCTATTGGTTTTATTTAATCAGCACGGTGCACATTAATCAACCAGCCATACACATTAAAAGTACAAAGTACATGACAAATAACAGATCCACATTCAATATATGCATCATGAGGTGAGAGAAGGCTCACCAGAGATGTAGGATACACAGGTGTTACCTTGAAAAGTTTGAAAGAGTTAAAGCAGCTAATGACGTACGTCACGGTCAATCTGGGAGAAAATCTTATTTTCTTGAATAATTGCAAGAGACTTTCCAATAGTAGTTTTCCTTGAAATGCACATCCCTAATCTCAACATTTTTTCAACCGATTAAGTTAGTTATCACTTTTCCATGTCAGGGTTATAAAAGGGACTGAAACATTTGTCCGAAGTCAAGATGTAATTTTAACATGTTTTATTCTTCAAACAATATCCATAAAAACAGCTCCTTATGGGCTGAGTGAAGATATCAAGAAGGTTCTGAGACATCTTAGAGAGAGCAGATACAAAACATTCTCCACAGAGGAAGAAGAATAAAAAATATGACTGAGCATGTAGGAAAGCGAAACATCTCTGACGACGAGGAAGAGAGAGACCCCTGGGTGCTCAGGAGATTGATACCTGACAGAAGTAGAAGTGTGACAGAAGCGGGTGGTTGAAGGTGATGAGCCCTAAGACAAGGCTCTAAATGATCACCTGCTATCTAAAATACATGTTTCATTTTAGTCTGTCTTTCATTTATCGTCATGAAACTGACCAAATATGTTTGTCGTGCCCGTCAGCACGCGCATGTGTCGCGGGGGGAAGTCATCGGTCTGCTGGGGGGAACTTTCAACGAAGAAGAGAAGGTGTTAAAGGTGAGAGAAAGTGGATGACGAGGGTTAAAGGTCATCATGCTGTTATAAACTTCTGTTCACAGCAAACCATTTTATATGTGTGTGTGTGTGTGTGTGTGTGTGTGTGTGTGTGCAGATCTGTGCAGCAGAGCCGTGCAACAGTGTGAGCACAGGTCTGCAGTGTGAGATGGACCCGGTGTCTCAGACTCAGGCCTGTGAAGTGCTCTCCTCTCTGGGCTTCAGCGTGGTGGGCTGGTACCACTCACACCCCTCATTCCACCCGAACCCCTCTGTGCGAGACATCAACACACAGGACCAATTCCAGGTGAGTCCAGAAGGGGGAGACACTTCAAACTGCAGAAAAAACATGTATCATACTCAGCCACTTTGGAACTAGCTGCTGTTACTGTAGCTTCCACACGGAGCTAAAGGTTGGGTTGTCAGTCTCAGTGGTGTCGCTTGTGAATATGTCATGAAGAACAGAAAGAGGCCCAGCTCAGTGGTGTAGAAACACCACCTCCGAACAGTGCTTTGTTTGCTTTATTGAAAAGTGACATAGACACACCAGCACTCAGGAATGGAAGCTTTCAATGACTACAAAGCAGGTTCTGTAAATGCTTCCCAGTTTTAGATGTCTGAAGCCCCTTGTGTTTCTGCACAAGTTATTTTAACACTCATAATGAGAGCTGATTAAGGACCAAATTGTATTTTTACCCTTTTGTTAAACTGGATGAAAAGGGCAGAAAAAGTTTCCTTGCGTTAAAAAAATACAGAGCTACTGAGGAGCCGTGGGGGGAATATTTTTGTAACGTTACCTCACAGTACTTTTGTATTCCCTTGCAACTTGTGATTTCCTTGATCTGTGCTGGTGCGTTTCACTTGAAGTGGCTGGGTGGAAATAGATGTATTGCTCAAAGGAAGAGGAGCGAGAAGAAGAAGAAAAGTATTGTGAGTGAACATGAAAATAGATCTCTAAAGAAACTCCCGTTACCTATCATGGCTAAAATGAAAACACTTTTTTTTTTTTTTAAATGGAAGGTGAAAGAAGCTGTCAGCCCTGATTGGAGGCTTAATCGACATGAACTTGTGACCTGATTCCCTGTGTTCTGATTCGCTCAGAGTTATTTCTCTCGTGGTGGAGCCCCCTTCATCGGGATGATTGTGAGCCCGTATGACCCTGCGAACCGCTCCCCACACTCCCAAACCACCTGCCTGTTAGTGAGAGAGAGCCAGGAGCCCTCAAGCCCACAGAGTGAGTCTCATTTACAAGACACACACACACACACACACACACTCACACAGACACAAAGTCCTGATTTAACACTTCAAAACTGCAAAAAATAAATAAATAAATAAATCTTTTGCTGAGCTTTGCCATTAGCTCTCCTCAGCACTTTGAATTTTGGCAGTTTTTATGTGTTGAATAAATAAAGCTGCCTTGCCTTTCCTCCTCAGAGCTGCCGTACAGATTTGACTTCCTGTCGTCAGCAGAGCGTCCGGACTGGGAGCAGACGATGAGGAGAGCGCAGTGGATCATCAACAAATATTGTCTGGCTCCCGGGTGAGAATCAATAATCACGACTCTCCTTCCACATTCTCATCCTGCGTTAACGTTTGGGCATCCTAACTGTTCTCTGCTCTCTGTAGGAGTGTGCAGATGGACAGATATTTCCGGAAAGACTCCCATCTCACCTTTCTGGAGAAGGTCTGTCCAGCTCTTAAAACGTTCTACCCGTTCTCAGCCTGAACTGTTGCGTTGCGTTCCTCTTATTGACCTCTATATTTACATCCTCTCCTCAGATGCTGTCGTCTTTGGCCAGGTACCTGGAGCCCCTGCCAGATGAGGAGGGAGACCCCTTCCTCACACAGATCCAGGCCCTTTTCCAGTCTGACTTCATTGCCAAACAGCAGCAGGCGTCTGAGCAGGACGGGGAGGAGGAAGAATCTTTGGATACCTCACACAGACCAGTGGGCTCAACTGAGCTGGTTATGAGCGAGGAGCGCCCCCTGCTGGGAGTAGCAGACTCTGACGATGATGTAGGCAGCGCTTCAGACGGCAGCTCAGAGACGCAGAGCAGCATGGTGTTACATCTGGGCTCTGTGCTGTCCACTGAACATGATTATCTACTCTAATGTTGACCCATTCACTTCATCTGACTGTAGATATTTCAACAATTATTTCATCTTAATATGAAGAGTTTTTTTTTACCAGAGTATTTTATATTCTTCTTCCTTAAAAGAAAGGGTGGGGCGTGGTCTATCTTAGCAGACACTGAGGGAAAATGTGCAGACTAAAAATCTGTAAGTTTGAGAGTTTGCAAAATAAGGACAGAAAATGTGTTAGAAACTTTGAGAATGCTGTTTTTCAAGTCAGTATTAAGGATTTGTTTCAAGAACTTAGTGTCTGATCATCTCTGTGATGGTCCAAAAAGACAGTTGAGTGAATATTTGGAGTGTATGTATTGACTGAAACATTGTTCATTTCTTTGAAACCAAATATTAAAAACCTATTTTCATATTTTTGGCTTAATGTCAATTTTGTGTAAAAGTTTCATGAGGTAAAAAAGCTCCAACAACACTTTAAGTAGATCAACTTCATTAAAAAATTAGGAAGACCTCCCCCCCCCCAACAGGGCTTTGTGACCCTGATGAACGCCAAACGCCAAAACGTGTAGGTCTATTCTGTTAATAAAGTTGATCTTCATACTAAAAGTGTTGCTGGAGCTTTTTGAACTCTTCTAGCCTTTCTAGCCTGCTTCTTCAGTGTCAAAGTTTCATTCAGTTATATTTAAAAGATATTAATCTTTGTATTTCCCAGAGTTACAAATATTGAAATTGGGGAGCTTCATGAAAAAAAGAAAAATACAAATGGATCCAAAAGAACAAAAAATGTGTAAAAGTTTAGAAAAACTGCTTTTTCAGTGAAAGTGTGAAAGTAATCACAGTAAATGTTTTCTTCAAAAGCAATCCTATTTTTTGTTGCTTGATAATTGATTCTACACTTTTAACCCGAATTAGTTGACTTTACTCGCAAATCGTGTGGAAACCTGTTGCCCTATACCACTTTAGTTTTTACATAAGCTGAAACTAAACATGTCGAGTTGTATTAACATGGAACCTTAAGTTTAGTATTTATATTTATTAGTAGTGTGTACTCAAAATGAATGTGAGATGTGAGCACAGCACCTTCCCGCTCGATGAGAAGTATCCCAATGTCAAGGTCACGAAAAGAGTCATCATCATCAGATTCCTGAATGAAGAATAACAGAAGAGCACAATCATTACATTAGATTTCTCATTTGAAAAACAACTTTAATCAATATAAGAGTGTCACGGTGAAAAATAAATAATGGTGAAAATTATAAGAAAGCAAGAGCTTACTTACAAAGCCTGCTTTGAAGAAGTTTGTGGGGCTGTCCCCAAGGATGATAGGAAGCCCTCTGAGCACCTGTGTCCGGATCGCAGTTGGCTCTGTAGTCTTTTGGGAATTAAACACAGTACCATAAGTTAGATAGCTAAAATGAAAAACAAATAATGATCTATAAGAAAGCTCAAACAAACCAAGCAATGTTTGGATTGAATTATACAACTAATAGAGTAGCATTGTGATATGATGTTTTTACAAAACCTGTGAAAAACCATGCCAAGTACATAATGTGTATGGACCTACATTGGTCTGTTGTGAAATCTGTGTCAACAATTTTCCAACATTCCCTCTCTTGGATCAAAATAACTCGAGGAGACGAGGACTGTGCCGATCGATGCTCTCAGAATTCCTGCTTGAGGTTCTTGCCCACAATCCAGCTGAACTCCATGAACACCTGAAAAATACAGAGAATAAAAAAACTGAACTTAGATCAACTGAAATATACAAGGAAGCTAAGCCATCTGCAAAGTAGTGCTGAAAAACTTCCATGAATGTCCTTTTTATATGATTTGAGTGAGAAAAACTGCTTCTGTGCAGGGAGCAGAAAAGAATCACATGCACCCTGGGTTTTCTGGTGAATCTTTGCTAAGTGGACCTTAAGTGCATTAATGGAGTTGAATGTGCACACACATTGTTGGTGTAAGCAGGGGAATGGGACAGTTCTACCATAGTTTCCGTGTTTTAACCGATAATGTTTTAAAAGGTATCCCCTTTTCTCACACATAAACTCACAATACTTACACATCCACAGCATCCTCACACCACAAGGATCTGTAAAAATAGAAAACAAATAAACGTTTAGCTCAACAACTCAGCTCAACAATGTCGCGTCTATTTTACTTTTTAATTTATTTATGGCTGTGTCTGATAAAAGTGGCTTAAATTACGCGGCAAAGTCAGTAATGTAGCTCTCATGCTCTCTGTGTTGAGAGCGGCCAAGGCCGGGTCAATGACCTCCACAGCGCCTGCTACAATCGCTTTTCTATCGTGTAAAATGAAGATTATATAAATGATACAGTCGAGCAAACTCGCTGGTATGTGAGCCGTCCTCAGACTGTTAACACTAAGCTAACTTTAACATTCAGCTGACACTTTTTTGAGTGGCCATTAGCTAGTGTTAGCAATAAGCATGTATTAACAGCATGCACAGGTTCAAACATTAGGCAGAAAAAAAAAGAAGCTGCGTCAACAAATTATCTGCAAGCTTTTGGGTATTAAAAATTCCCACAAAGATAACTAGGCTACAATAGTTATTTTACATACTAACCATTCCACTTGTAGAAAGGTTACTTCGTGGTCAGGGTGCCATCTGCTGCCGATGCATGTGCTCGTCGCGCCAGGTGTCTCCTGACCTGCTGACCTGACAGACAGATGCAGCGCGCAGAGCTGTCAATCAAATCTGCCACAACCCTTATATGGGCATAGTCGTTTTCCTTAATAGAATAAAATCCGATGAGTTATGAAAAAATTCCCCCCCCCCCACAGTGTGAGGAGAAGGGGCCGTCAACTTCTCAGATATATCTCGTTTTTTGAACCAGGCTGTAAACATGTTGATTCCTGTGGTAAAAACGGGCTTTTTTGGCTGTGGGCTTATGGCACTTCCGGCGCTTCTGCAGCCAGCCTCAAGCGGAACCTCGAGGAACTGCAGTTTTTTGTACTTCCGCATAGGCTTCATTTTTAGAGACTGAAAGTTGCCCCTTGACGCAAACAGGTGAAAGTCACCAGTCAACACAGTCACTCGTCAAACTGAAACACCGGAACCTTTCTTGGCAGAGCTGTTTCTACGGGGATCATAATTGAAGCAGGAACGTCAGACTACCAAACCAGTTTAGGTATTCAAAGTTATTTCATTTCGTGTCGTAAATGAGCTAAAATGTTTAAACTATGCTTTGCTTATGTGTTTTTGAGCTAAAATCCGGAACTTCCACTGACTGCCAGGTGTCTGCTGTCGGTCCAGCGGTTACCAAGGTTACTGCTGGTGACGGCTGACTGTCACCGCTCTGACGGTGTGGGCTGAAAACTGAGTTGGTATGAATTGAACGTACTCAGGTGAGCTACAGAGGTTAAAAGTAAAGTCACGAGAGTCAGTTTAACGTTAACATGCTCTCTCTGTTGACTCTGTTCTCTGCTCGATCACTGTAAGGACGAGGTGCGTTCACGTACCGGCACCGAAAATGGTTTTACTAAGTTTCAGTCTGATAAGGAGCGCTCGGTTCTGTTCCCGTCCTGTAAATCTGACACGGAACCTCCTTCAGAAACCTCCCATCACCTGCAAGAGAACCACACAGTCTGTATACCTCAGAGCTGCTCCACCTGTCTCATTCTACACCAATGGGAGGACGGTGTGTTTGCGGACCACCTCACTGCTGCACCCGGCACCCGTGCTGACCCGGTGCAGACTCCACTTTCACACGTCGGCCCATGTGAGGGCCCTTCCAATGCCCCTCCTGTGGCTGCTGCTCAAACCTCTGCAGAAGCTCACAGCTATAATCTTGGGCAGGTAAGACACACACACACACACACACACAATTCAAATGTTTTATTGAATTTTTCAAAGGCATGGTACATGGCATTAACACACTTAAGTTTCAAGGATAACCCTTAGTTTACACAAATGGTGGAGGAACTCTCTTTTTACTGTAAAATAAAAAGCTCCATCATTTTATGAACAGTTGTTGAGTTGTTCTCCTCCATCAGGAACATCAACTTTATAAAAAAAGAAAAACTAATCTTTCTTTGCCGTGATTCACAGAATCTTGTCTCTACAAGCTTTGACAATGTTGGACATGTAACACACACCCGCTGTTCATTTAGAGGATGTGTGTGTGTCTGTGTCTGTCAACTGGCTGCAGTGTGCGCTCTGTGAATATGACGAAACACCAAAGTAGGTTCGGCGTTTAGGGGCTATTTGTTCAGTTTTTGGAGTGAACACAGAGCTCTCTTACAGAGTTTGTTTATCTAAGTTTGCATCTTGTCTCCTCTAACAACCAACTGATACCTGAGATGAAGCTGAGAAAAGTCAGCTTACTCCCGTAGACAACATTTTACTGACATTTACTGAACAGCTGGTTGATGCATGTTTTCTTTTACTTAAACACAAACCGTATGTGCACTTATGTGTAATAGGCTTTTTTGACCTTTGCCCTTTACAAGCCTGTATTTTAGTGATTCCTCTCAAGCAGACCTGCAGCTTTACTTCAGCATGTTGTACATGGTCTATTGTTGTGAATACATTGCAGGAGTATCAGGAAATGGTGGGTGGCTCTCCCAGCAAACCGTCGGCAGCTGATGCGGGAGTGGGCATGGCAGCGGCGGTGGTATCTGGCAGCTGGGGCAGGCGTTACCATAGTCATTGTAGTCCTTCTTCTCCTGACCCACCTGGATGAGTCTCCATTGACGGGACGGACACGCCTCCTGGTGGTTGGCAGAGAGAAGTACATGGAGCTGGCTGCTCTGATGTCAGAGGCGGTGAGAGAGAGAGAGAGAGAAAGAGAGAGGCATAGAAAATGTGTGATCATCTTATTTGTACCCTTTTTACAAAAGTAAAGTGTGTGTGTGTGTGTGTGTGTGTGTGTGTGTGTGTGTGTGTGTGTGTGTGTGTGTGTGTGTGTGTGTGTGTGTGTGTGTGTGTGTGTGTGTGTGTGTGTGTGTGTGTGTGTGTGTGTGTGTGTGTGTGTGTGTGTGTGTGTGTGTGTGTGTGTGTGTGTGTGTGTGTGTGTGTGTGTGTGTGTGTGTGTGTGTTCTTTACTGATTAAGTGACCTTTTAAATTGATGCATTGATGACGAGTTGCACTCTACACTCTAAATTTTGTTGCACCCTGTACAACGACACTAAAGATATTCCATTCTATTGTTTTTAGTATATGGAGGAGTTTAAAGAGCTGATGGTCCCAGCTTCTGACCCCCGTCAGCAGGCGGTGGAGATGGTGGTGCAGCACATGGTAAAGAGGAACGAGGACATCCCAGAGGTGTGTGATGTCCACTGGACCGTCCACGTGGTGCAGAGTCCCGATGTCAACGCCTTCGTCCTCCCCGTCAGTAACAGAGACAGTTATTTTTTTCCATCAGCATCCTGATGGTGATATTTAAGGAGTATTACAGCTAAACAGAGTCAGAGTATTGTTGAACAGAGTCATTATCTAAACTACATACTTTTGAAACATTATTCTGTACATTTGAATACATCTCTAAAACATCACATGGCTCCTTTTTTTTGTTTCCGTTGTAGAATGGGAAGGTGTTCATGTTCACAGGGATGTTGGAAGCTGTCGCGGATGTTCACCAGCTCGCCGTCATCCTGGGACACGAGATGGCTCATGCTTTACTGGGACATGGTGTGAGTACTTCTCCTGCAGATTGTAGAAATGTTTCTATTGAGGATTTTCACTGTATGGAGTACTGCAGTGATTCATTATTTTTAGTAAAACATCCCCCTAGATAAAAATCCCCCTGGCTCCTTCATGACCTTTTTTTTTTATTTTAGAACTTTTTGATCTTATTTTGAAATCTTGTAGAAAAAACATTACGTGAAAAATATAACTTTCTGGCACTGAGACGATACGTACAGTCATATAATCTTTACACTTGAAATATAATTGAAGCATCATCCCCAGAAGTGAAAAGCTAACATAATGTAATAAACAGCTGCCCTTGACTTTAGCAGCTCCTTCAATGAGCTTTAAGTTGTCTGTGTTCACTATTATGATGTTTTTTTATTATTTATTTGTAATTTTTAACCTTCTTTTTTTTTCAACTTCATGTGTACAAACTAATAGGGTAGCTGATAGCTAGCTTCAGATGCATTTTGTGCTCTCTGCTGCTGTTTGCAGTCATCTGCTGATGTAACTGTGCAGCATGAGGAGTCACTGAAAACATCTAAAGTGCAAATATTGTTCAAGAGCAAAGTTTAGTCATTTAGTAGCTCTGCACAGCTGGAAGTCTATTGTGAAATACATGTTCCTCCTTTGTGTGTGCGTGTCTTCATAATCACCATCATGATCATCATGGTCGTCATAGCTGTCTCAGGCTCACTCTGTTTTAATGTATGTGGGGGCATCAGTCAGTAGCAGTGTTGTTACATCAGGTGATTTCTGATCCTGTGTGTGCTGTGACCAGTCATGATACATGAATTGGAGACTTCGATATGATTCTATTTTAAATCAAATGATATCAATACATGTTTGATACCACAGCAACAAAAGTAGAAGTCGATCATTGAAATAACAGATATTATATCAGTGTCAAGGGGGCTCCGTTTTGATTTTGAAAATGATAAATGTTATCCATAGTTAGGCGCGTAGCTGACATGATTGACAGGTGGGCGTGATGTAACGATTCGTCAAAAGGCTTAAAACCCGCCTCAGCTTTGGCTCTAAGCCTGTCGTTAGATTGACTAAAAGTTAGACTGAGACAGCATTTCCAGCATGGCGGCGGCTTCGGATGAGCTTCTGGAGCCCCCTGCTGTAACAGATGGCTGACGTCACTCAGGCTTTGTCCATTCATATTTACAGTCTATGATCAATGTATCTATTCTTCTTCCAAATGTCTGATGTCACTCTGAAACATCTCCTCCTCCTCCCCCTCCTCCTCCTTTTTCTTCTTCTGTGTGTGATGAAGCAGGTAGTAATTCCAGCCTTTAAACGTCCTCGGAGGAAATGCTTGAAGGAGATTTTAATGAGTTGTTGGGAGTGAGCGTGGATGGGTTTTGTAGGTGTTCTCTTCAAAAACCTTTAAATCTATTTCAGTGGTGAAGGTCTTCTGGCATAGATGAGAACGATCGATACGTTCCAGCTGACTGGCTCACCTCCCACAAACTTTTTACCTTCTCTCCCCATCCCATTTTCTCTTCTTTTTTTACTACTTTCTTCACTCTAACCTTTTCTCCTCTTGTCATCCCTCCTCCTCAGGCAGAACAAGCCAGTCTGTCCCACGTGGTCGACCTCCTGTCTCTGATTCTGCTGATGGCCATCTGGGCTGTGTGTCCTCAGGACAGCCTGGCCCTGCTGGGACAGTGGGTCCAGAAAAAGGTCACTGAGGTGAGAACCAGACCAGACTGTCACCACCAAAAACACAACTCAACTACAAGAACATTCACATTATCTCACTACTTTAGTTTAGTGTATTAGTTTATTGTACAGGGGCCAGGCATCCATTGAGCTAGAGTTAGCTAGAAAATCAAGCTTATTTACATCTGTGGCAGGAAGATCTGCAAAACAAACATTATCTTTACTGCAATAAAAACAACAAAACTTCACAATCATTAAATCAGTTACAACAACATATTTCACAAACTAGTTTACAGACTCTTCAACTCGGATTCACACAGGTGTAAACTAGTGAACATATGATTGGTTTGACTGGAGCCGTGATTTAAGTTTAGCTTAAAAAA